GCGCACTAAAAGAATACCTGCCGACCGTAATTCCACCAGGGGCCTTGACGAGCGAGCTGCCTTTGTTGCTGACCTAAAAACCCAGGGAATCGCTTATAGTACAAATTGTGTCTTCATTGACGAGTGTGGGTTCTCGAAGGCATACGCACGTCCTTCAGCTTGGTCAAAGATAGGCACTCCAGCAGCTGTTACTGTCCCAGCACTGCGATCCATCAACGTCAGTATTATTGGCGCTATGTCGAGCAAAGGCGTTATATTGCTTTCAAGGCATGCACCACCAGAAGAATACAAGCAAACGACACCAGAGTCATCTCGTAAACGGAAAAGAACGGCCCATGGTACAACACGCGATCATTTTTTGGATTTCATTAACGATTTGGTGGACATTCTGGAGGAGTTGGGCTTTCGAAACATGTGCCTAGTTATGGACAACGCAAGGATCCACAAGTGGGACAAGATCGAAGAAGCAATCGAAAGAGGCGGCCATCGCATAATTTTTGTCCCTGCATATTCACCATTTTTAAATCCCATCGAAGAATGCTGGTCAAAGATCAAGGGCCATGTTACAAAAAAACCGCTGACAACTGAAGATGACCTTATTGGACGAATCGAAAAAGCAGCATTTACAGCGACCGAAACCGATTGCCAACACTGGGTCGATCACTCGCAATCCTACTTTCCTGCATGCCTAGCAAAGCAGCCTATTATATAGGTATAGCCCTGATTTTAGTTCTCTTCCTTTTACTACTTTTACTGTAATACCAATACATTTCACCCTCTAGATTATATAAAACACGTTTTGGAACAGTATAATTATGTCGTTAGAAACGATAGTGTAGCTGGACGTGGACGTTGGTTACAGTAAATCACGTTCGTATTATCACTCTTCTGCTGTAGCAAAGTTGATTCTACATATAAATCAGAGATCCTGACTCTCAGACTTCCTATCTTCCTTCCACATAATAAATTCACCGCTCAAAGGTGCTACATACAGCACGCCTGCTTCGGGAAGCTTCGTACTAAAAGTGATTTTAGCTTGCTACAATGTTCGAGTAGGCCATACCAGGGAAAAATGATCTGTCCACCTATTAGAACATTTTGTACAGTGTGCAGTTGTTACAGAGCAATCACTCTCACCAGCTAATGAATAAATTCTATGATGAAATGCATCAGGTCATATACATCGCTTGTGCACTTGCTAGAATTTTCAGTCTTCACGCTTGAACTATGGCAGTACAGCTGGTATGGCCAGCAATGCGAGTTTACCTGTTGGACGAAAAAAAAAGAATGAGATGAAGGAAGGAATTGATCCACTGTAGATTCAGAAAGCCTTGTCACAAAATAGATTTTGAAGCTCTAAAAATTGGTCTGCGTACTAGTGGAACATGTCACGCTGTTCATTGAATGTCTTGTTGTTATGGATGAAAAAGCTCGATTGGTGTCGGGGAAGCAAGCGCGGTGCGCTGTTGAATGCCCTCCGTCGCCCACGGGGAAAAGGAAGTTAGCCGTGAGGCAAGACCTCTGTTTAATGAAATTTTGTTGTGATGAATATAAGATTGATTCATACTATGAAAATAAGCCTGATGCGTTCTTAGACAGCGTCCATCGCCCATGAAAAAAAAGGAAGTGAGCCATTAGACGCCCTTAATTTCTCACCAGGGAGAGTCTGTTTATCACGAATCATTTCTATTCTCCAACCAATCAAATACAGTATTTCGCACCGGTGTTCATCTCTATATTACACCCCCTAGAAATTTTATAGTTTCAAACGCAAAACGCTGTATACACGGTGATAAATTAGAACGTCATTTCTGGTGCGTACGACAGGACATACCTTTGCGATACAAACAGAATACAAAACCGTTGCTGGGATTAGGGGATACTTTTCGACTTGAGACCGTTCGAAAAAGCAAAATAATGAGTTCTTTGATATTATCACAATCATCATTGCAGAAGTGTCGGTATATTACTTTTGCATACTAAAACCAAAAACAATTACAGTAGACCGACAAGATCTTAACTGAGCAGCGAACGCAAAGAGTTGCGGTATGTACAAGGAAGTCACCAAGGTTCGTTTCAATATTTCCATCTTTTTATTTCTTCTTGTTTGAGACAACCGATAGTTACTGCTCTAGAACTATTATTTGTACCACGATTTCACAGGAACAGTCCTTTTAAATACATTATATATCCCCACGACCTATTCTTTCCATATCCACGCAAATAATATATTATCATCATAACACTCTAGTTCGTCGTATTTTAATACATCCTGAGGGTATCAGGTAGGAAATAATCCGTCGAAAAGTATATCTTGCTACTTTAGAAGTAATCGTATAGTTGTAACGATTATATATGAACATACGTTATGTGTAACTAGAAATTGCTTAGGTACAGTATGCGCTGATAACATACAGCATTTAATGTCAAGTAAACTTATCATATCCACGAAGCACCTCAGTCTTGCATTTACAGAAGCACTACCCGCTCTTTACTTGCCATCACGTTCATCTCGCTTTATTGTCAATGCTCCCAACATTTATGTAGTGTCAACTTTTGTCGTTTACCATGTCGGCCACTTGCCAATCTTCATTACCCCGAAAAGACACCCTTTTACAAACTCACCCGTGTTTGACAAAACTATGTCCTTCTCTGGAGCAAATGGAGAGGCTCGCAGATGATAAGTGTGTGTTGCCATCGGGCGTAATCGTTGAGGATAAGACGGTGGAGTATGATAGTGCTTACTCATCTTCCAGGTGTCAGCCGTTGAAGATGACGAAGAAGTACTATCGTATTAGCTTGTTCGAAAATGAAATACGGTTTTGTTGTTGCTGTGGCTCCCAAGCATAGCTCTTATCATTGAAAGCAATACATTATCATAATGCTTCTTTTTCCTGGTTTATACATTCGGATTGTGTAGAAATTTCACAATGAAATAATGGCTCACCTGACACTATTTTCGCCTTTTGTCATCCCCGCAGGGATCTATGATATAACCTAGTCACGTTAGTCTATCATGCTAAAAGTCGAGCGCATTGGTCAAAGCAGGATCGTCTGAAAACGATATACTGACCCTATTATGGCTCAGCTATCCGATACTTGTGCGTCGATGCAGATATCGCTGTTCATAGGTATACTCTTTTCTTATCTTATTTCAGATCGCTACTCGTGATATAGTATTTGCTGATGCTGGCGTGTATATAAATCGCATTGAAAACAGGAAGCTTCGGCAACTAGTGATAGCAGATATTCAGACAGGACTCTGAAAGAATTGAAGCTACATTACACGCGTGTCAACCTTCGAAACGTGTACGGTGGCGCCGAAATTACTTGTGGCGAGGCCGGCCGTAATAATGGTACAACCGTGACATGAGAATGTTAGCTTGTTAAAGAATATACACTGACAAAAACTAAGATCTGACGATGTTCGGCTTTAACATGACGGGTAAGTTATAGCTATCTTTTGCTTTTAGAAGATAATATTGTACTGGCACCTCAGAGAAAAAACTTCAGGATTATCGATCAGTATTGTCAACGGATTACTTGGGTGGCAGTGTCTACCGGCTTACGGGTCTGCCACGATACCTTTCTTAATACCGTCACAGAAGTATCTACAGAGAAGGTCCATACTCCTAATACTCCATTTCTTATTACTTATGGTGCTGTGCGTTAATAGGCAATCAAATCTAGCAGACCTCCGCCACCAGATCTCCCTAACAAGTACCATTTGCATTTTCTGCTCCACGATCCGTTGAAAATTCAATGCCTCGGGAAAACTTTCAAAGGCTTTTGAAGGCTCCAAAAGTATCGGTTTACAAATTCAAATTTCCGACGGTATCATCAACTTCGACCATGCCGGCTTCTGCTTCAGGCATGTCGCGAACGTCTTCGTCAACCTGCTCAGGCACGGCCAAAATACAGCGTACAAAGTGACTTTTTTCATATCCACCACGCAATATCATTACTTTTTCGAGTTTGTTCTCCTTCTCTTGCATACGCACTATCACATATTGTACTATATTCGCATTTTCATACTTTCTTTTCCTGCCATGTTTGTCATCTGTATATCTCTCTATAGCACCGTCTTGATACAACATTAATCATAATTACACACATTCTTGGTATTACAATTGAATTGCAAGTCGCTTGTTCATTTTTTCACTTGGTTGTGTTTCATGAGACAGTGATGGGGAGATGTGAAAGAGAGAACAGCAGCGGCAGCGAGGGTACGACCGTACAGTGAATCTTCGACGCTTGGGGCCAATCTAGCGTCCCAGCTATCTAATTGAGCATAATAGATTGCATCGAAACAAGCTTGGCTGTTGGAATTAGCGATACAGCAAGCTATAGCTTTCAGCAACCCACATTCAACTTCGTTATCCCACCGGTTTGTTCTTACCACGGGAAATCGAAGCGTTGAATGGTCTTTTAAAAACTTTCAAGAACTTTCAAGATCTTTGAGCCATTTCTTGCCAAAGTAAACCGGGAGACAATTTCTTTGTTAGTCATTCAGCCGCACAAGGTGCCAATGCGTGCTATGTTGTTCTTCAACTTGAGACACTTATTGCTTCTTGTTTCAAAAAAGACGCAGAAAGCTAATGGCAGCTCCAATATCGTACTCAGCCACACCATTTAGTTCAGCGTGCCGGCATTTTGGGAGCATGCTTAACTCATAGTGGGAAACAAAACATGTGTTCCTTGCATAGCAACTTGACTCTAGCACAGTAAATCATCCAGAAAGACCGATGTATAATCATACTAGTCGTTGAGCAGCATGAATAGCAGCAGACGGCGAAACAAGGTGTAAAAGCTACTGCTGCATCTTTATTTGATTTGTATGCGTGTTAAAAAAAGAAACAAAGAGAGGCTGGTGCGATGGCAGAAGTGATAGCAGTAGTGGCACTATGTTTGTTTGTCTCGTGCAGGAAGCGCAAATTGTGACAGAAATGACATGAAGACCAAGTAATCAAGCAACACAGAAATGCGCTTTTGAACTTCCGGTGTTGTACAAGCCAAGTCTTTGTGCCATGGTCAACCCGAAAAAAAAAGACTTGCAAGCAAGGTCAAGTAAACAGCAACAAGTAAAGCCTTTTCGTTCCCGCTATCTCTCTTGTTTTTTTTTCCTTCTTCATACGCTGGTATAACGGGCCCCACTTCCTTTTCCTTCTTCTTTACCTTTTGTGCTTGTGACCAAACAACAAGAACAGCGCTCCCTCACTTTCATTCTCATACAAACAACTCGCAACATACATCTGGGTGGGTTCATCATCATTCCACAAGTCTTTTAATTCCTCTCCCCACCTCCATCAAGAAAAGCTCATGCAAAAATGTCGACGACGCCTGAGATGCAAACCGTGATCCAGGTTCTTCAGCAGAACATTGAAAGTCTCAGCAACGACAATCTAGAGGTATTTCTGATTACTGCCTATTGTTACTGCGCTTCTCTCTCCTTGTGTGTATGTGTATTAAACGAGGCGTATTTTGGATGTATTGCAGCTTCGAGGAAAGCTCGACGAACAGCAAGAGCAGCAACGGGAATTGAGCAACGACAACAGCTACCTCCAAAAAGTACGTTTTAGACCCTGCGATAAATGCTCCAACAAGGAATACTTAAACATGTGCACTGTCTCTTTTAGAAATTATCCGCAATTCAACAAGAAAATCAGACGCTGAGCAACACTCAGGCTCGACTGGAAACACAGCTCTATGCACAGGAACAGGACAACACTGACTTACGCAAAGAAATCCAACAGCTGGCAAAGGCTAGAAAGGATGCCGAGAAAAAGCTAACTAACGAGGTCAGTGCCGCTAATTATGTTGTGCCACCCCGCTCGATTCCTTTTTGACCGGTTCCTCCCCGTCTTTCATTCTTTGTGTGAGCGTGTCCCACGCTGTGCTAACCCCTGAATTCTCATTAAACAGCTTGAGGATTTTGAAAACGACCGAACTCGGTGGCAACAGCGCGAAGCGGATCTGATCAATCAGGTCCGTTCATTAAACTCAACGCATGGTGAACCTCGTACCCCGCGCACCCCAAGACGTCGTAGCATCACTGCCACTACCATGAACGGAACCAGCATGAGCCCCTTCACAAACTATCCACTCGGTGATATCGGTAAATGATTTAGGGACCAGCTTTGTTCGATCATTAGCCGGCTGAAGCACAGGGAATTATGTATGCTTACACGTGCTCTGTACAGATGAATATGAAGGACGGGAGAATGGTGCAGCTGCTGAGGGTAATAATACCGTGCCTGCCCCGAGCGCTCCCGTCACGGCGCCTAAACTAGCCGCAATTGATGCATCATATGCACGAGAGGCCAAGATTGCTCAGCGCACGATCAAAGCGCAGGACAAGCTGATTGCAGACCTGAAAAGCGAGATTGAGCAGCAGAAATCGGTTATCCAAGAACAACGCAGCGAAGTACAGCAGCAATCGCTCCGTTTGGAGCACCTGGATCATGAGATTGCCAATGTCAAGCAAGTCAACCGCTCGCTGATGGAGGATAATGAAAGCTACCAAATCTTGCTACACGAAAAGACCATCAGTGGCGAGTTTATGATGAATCCAATCATGCAGGTATGTACTAATTCGTTTTACTGGTAACCAAAAAAATAGGGAGTAGAGGAGGGAAAGATATCTTGTTTTAAGTATACATTAAATATGCGGACCGTGCATATTACGATAGATTGAGAAAGATGGAAGCGCGTCGCCTACGAATGAGCACAAGGGACGAAGTCTGAAGCCGTCCACAAGCACCAGCAGCAACGGATTGAATCTGGCTGCCGAATTGAATCTTGCTTCGGTTGGCACTCCTGACTGGGAAGCGAGCCAGAAGGCAAATGAGACGGATCAAACTGTACTTAGTAAGTTATAAATCTTTTTCTGCTCTTGAAGTAGATGGGGTAATCACTATAGGAGAGATTGTTCGCAAGTACTTTATGGCAAGAAAAGCAGACTCACATATCTCTCAAATTATTACAGAGCTGACAGACGAGAACAAGGTGCTCCAGGATACAAATCGTGCTCTTCAGCTATATATGAACAAGATTCTCATGAAGATCATCAACAACAAGCAGTTGGAGGATGTGCTATCCATTGACCAACCCAAACCACAACCCACTATTGTAACGTCAACGCAGCAGCAGCAGCCAGCAGCAAAGAACAGCAGATTGGCTCAACGCGCTGGACAGAAGCAACAACAGCAACAACAGAAGCCGTCGTCGTCGTCGTCGTCGTCATTATCGTCATCGAACAACGCACCTGCGCCGAGCCGGACGCTGTCGAGCAGCTTATTAGGCAAATCCGCAACCAGTCGTCAACAACGTCGTCGCACGATTTCGTACTGGGGTAGCAATAAGCCCCAAATCCCAGCTGCAGCAACAGTCGAAAAAGCGAGTTCCGAGGCCGAGTTGACTGTTCCAGCCAATGCAGCAAATGACAAGAGCTCCCGTCGACACAGTTCGATCGCTGGTAAGGAACCCGAGCGACCCCAGGCAGCAGCTACTACCACAAGCAACAGCGGATGGGCTAAGGCATTGCGTCGTATGAGCGGTATTGGGTGGTCGAGCAAACCAGCTGGGGGTAGTGACAATGAAGCTACTATGACACCAGATGAGCAGGACAGTTTGAATACCAGCCACAGCAGTACATCGAGCAGTGGCAGCAGTACGGATAAAACATCGTCAGAATCGGCTCGAAAGCTTCCAATTGCCGAAGGATTGATTGCTGCACCCAGCATGAGCCGGTCAACCAGCACCAACACGTCGTCATCGTTACGCCGTAGCAACGAATTGGCCACTCTTCAGGAAGAGTAAAAAGAAGAAACTTCTTTTTATATTTTTATTTCTCTTTATCTGTACTTCTTCCCCGTTCTCTCTTTGAACCCATATTATATCAATCAGCGGTTCTCTATGTCTTATTTTATCCTCCTTCTTCTTTTTCACCTTCCCAGAACTTAAACTATTATTTATATATTTTCTTCTTCTTTTCTTCTCTCTGACAACCAACCTCCAAATCCCCATTATCTTATATGCCTGTGTTCATACCCTCTCCTTTTCTTTTTTCGAAACTACTACTACTACTGTAAACGATTCTTTTTCGTATTTCTCTTTTGTTATAAAACATTTACATCATTTCAGTTGTCGATTGGTTTTTTCCAAGAGTGATTGCTTCTCCGGCAGCATGCATGGCAGGCGGATGTTTGTTTTGATGTGTGCCATGTGTAAACGCGATCTTGCAAAAAGCAGGATTGAGGTATCCTGGATAAAATGCATCACGGATATGTTAGCAATTGTCTGTTGTAGCAATTTTACGGTGGATTAACCACTTCAATAGCCATGCTTCAAACAGTCCCTCTGGACTCTCAATATACATATCGTGCCTGCACTAACTGATTAAAATGTACTAGGTGCCATACTTTATATTTATGAAAAGTCATTTTGACTGTTTGAGGAACTGATGCATTGTTAAAGTTTACGTATGACAAGCAATGCAAGAAAGTCCCCCTTTGTGAATGATGAAAGATCGATTTCTCACGCTTTCTTCCATCAAAGTACTTTTTGACAGATTTCATAAATCTTTTTCCCTTTCTCTGTGAAGACATAATGGCGTCGTGCAGCAGTATATATGGGCTACAGTATTTAAAGAGCACAAAACATAGCAATCCTAGTATCGTAACTCTGACATACTACAAATTTCGTGAAGAGCGATATAGACTCATCAATCAGCAGGAGGACTGCTGTTCGATGATCGGGATATCTAGGCAGTAGACTGCATCTTGTTATTCGCTTCATCTCTACAGCGGTTCCCCGTTTAATTTCAACCTCAAAGGGGGTCTATAAGGTGTCGAAACTACTAAGGGTTGACACAAACGAGGGTTGTTCTATGCTTAAAGGGGGTATAGAAAAAAGTTGAAATAACTGAGGGTATATCTTATTGAGAGTGAAATTAAACCGGAACCACTGTATAAGACAATAGTTATCGCATCCAACTATTTATGAACATCCGTATTTCTTAGTGATGTACGGTCGCGCTGGTACAATAACGAATGTTTTGCTCCTCTTTCTCCTATCGATGAGGATTGCGATTATACTCTATATAAGAGAAGTAAGCGGCCACCACCTCACTGCTCTCTACTTTTCAAACATACACACACACACACTACTTTTACTATATATCAACATCCACCTGCCTCGCTTCGCTCGGCTGAATGAGCCCCTCCGCTACGCTCCGTGTCATTCAACGGAAACGCGTCGCAAGGGGGTTCCCCCCTTGACCTCCAAACCCCACTGTCGAGCGAGGTTGGATCAATACCTTGGTATTAGATACTTATTGTCTGTTTTCAAAAACAAAAGCAAAATTATTGTGCAGTGAGAAGTATTCTATCATAGGAAGTCGTCAAAGTTGGATACTTACTATCTCCAGTTCAAATGCAAAGCGAATAGAAGTGTGGAAAAAGATGGTGTAGTAATATTGATAAAAAGAGAATAGGTGGTGGTAACAAATGAAAAATAGGCGATATAAAAAAAGAGAATAGGCGACAAAAAGAATTAGAGAAGAACTTCATGGAAAACAACATTTCGGGTGTTTTGGCCTTGCTGACCCGCGATACTTGAGTTCTCGGGATCTAACATGATTCTGATGGATGAAGGGGTGCGGACGCGTGACATGGCTACATAAAGTAGACCATGCGTGAACGGAGGTTCAGGCAAGTAGAGGCCGACAGTTTTAAGGTTTGATCCTGTGCCTTATTGAGGGTCATAGTGAATGCCAGGCGAACAGCGAATTGGGTGCGTTTGAAGAGAATGGGAGAGCATGTTAGTGAATGTGTGAGTGTTATGCGAGGGATTAAGACAATGTTGCCGGCATGAGGTCCAGTGGCTATTTCAGCTTCAAATACATATTTTGAAAAGAGCGTACAATCAGCCGTGTCCCGTTGCAGAGACCACTTTGGGTGTGCAAGTTTCTCAAAAGCATAATTGGGCAACCGACTTTGAGTTTTAGCAAGTGTGGTGGGAGGTCGGATGGATTCATGGAATTGAGCAGCTCTGGTGGGTATGTGATTTGATTCTCTGGATCATCCACAGTATCTGCGCTCGGGAATACGTGGATGGTGCCTGGGAAATGGTCGAGTATCAGATCGTTGATCGCTGAAACGTCGACATTTTTTGGAGTTAGAATGGAGCGACTGATGAGGTAATCGCGATCCACGTGTGGTGCGTCAAGGCTGCCGTAAATGGCTTCGATGAGCGATTTACCCACTGCTGTACGATCTGCGAGCGCGACGCATTTGGTATCACTGGAAGGACCTATTACCATATACTTTACTGTGAGTACTACCGCTTAATGGTAAAAAACATGCAAAGTAGAAGAGAGGATACAATGTTGTTTACCTGGCAAAAGTCAACACCAAGGACCATAATTTTTCCACCAAATGGAACATCGGCAAGCGCGGGATCGTCATGTCTCATGAGATTTGGATACGCTTGTACGTATACGTTGATACTTGTATTGATACTTGTGTCCAGCGTGTTTAAAGCGATGACACTTCTCATATGATGAAGGACGTGAAGTGAGCTTCATCTCGTGTTAATGAAGGTTATCCCCTTGAGTCTTTCCTCGATGCGATACACGTCTACTCACATAGTCATACATTCATGTAGAACAAATTTTCTGATCTGGAGGAGCCACACATTTCGGCGCGTCATAAACGTGAGAGAGCAATCTGATTGGATAGATTGAACTGGCTCAAATGCCGTGTTCATTACTACTATATAACCGTGCGGCCGCAGCAATCATGGGGCTCTTCTTCCTCCTCGTCAACTTTTCTAAACCAAAGCTATTCAATGTGAGTGTCATTGGAATGGATTAGAGGATCGAAGAGTGTATGCTTGTGTTGGTGAGTGAGAAGAGCGTATGCAACCGGTTGTGAGTATCTCAAGATCCGTTTATCTCACTTTCTTTCTTTTTTGACACAGACCTTCTTCTCGTCTTAACCTGGTCCTTCTCTCCCTCACGTTGGCTCTCAAAGCCGCAGATGCAAGAGTAAGTACAATATGGAAAGTGTGAAGTGTACTTTGAGGTTTTGCTTGTGGATGTGATATACGAAAGAAGATCTGAATTTCGACGTGTCTAAAGAAGTGTGTGTACAGCATACAGTCGCTAATGTTATCCTCCTTTCTTCTCTGCTACTACTATAGGATTCTGACTTTTTGAAATGGTTGGTTCGGTTTGTTGTTTGCACCCCACCCTTAAACATAAGCAACAAATGTAAGTACGGTAGGGAATGAAATGTGAGGATGAGCTGGAGAGAAGTCGAGTGTCTGTTGGAGGTGCTGATGCCATGACGTGTCAGGAATAGTTGCATATTTAGAACAGCCTGCTCACGATCTTTCTTCTTTTCATACTACTTCAGGTTTCGCTTTATGCTGGTTGGGTTAATTGTGTCCTGCGGACAAATAACAGATAGTAAGTATAAGCAAAAGGGGACTTGAACATTGATATGATAGGTGAGTAGGATGGCATGGGTGTTGGGGATGACGCGTCAAAGGTGTGCAGTGTGTACAGCAGCGTGACGGGAAAGGGCTCCTGACCATGACGTATGCAATATGGCAGTCTCTCAAAAAAGTTTTCTTTCTCTCCTCCCCTTTCTTCTCTTATTCTTTTTTCAGAATTGGTCATCCCCTTCTTGCTTTTCCTCTCTCTAACTCAAGGCTCTCTTCCTCCAAGCCAAGGATGTCATAATAGTAAGTATCGCTGTGCTTGTGTTTGTCTTTGCGTGTTTGAAGAACCAGGAAGATGTCTGCCGTGACATGTCAAAAAGTGTATGCAGCTGCTCATAGATGTTTTCTTTTTTCTAATAGAGGATGGCTCTGCGGTGATCTGTTTGGACTTGGATTGGCTTAGACCCCATCTCTCTCTGTCTATAACTTTGCTGTAAAACGACAAACAAATGTAAGTATAGGTGGATCCAGCTTGGGATGGAGGAGGATGGTAATGCCGTGTTAAAAAATAAAGATAGCACAGTGGGTGCAGCCCTCTAATAATCTTTTTTTTATCCAGCTAGAAGAAGTGTTTCTGTTCTGGCTGCGATTCTCTGCTCTGCTCTGGCCGTGTGCTCGGCTCTCCTGTGTCTGTAGAAGTATGGGTAAGCATAGCACGATAGAATCTTGTATGTGTGTGGTTTAACAGTTTCCCATTAACTGTTCATCTCTTTCGTTTCTCGGAATGGCGATAGTGCACAGACACCTCCATGCCAGTCAAGATTGATGCTCCACTGTCATCCCGCTCCTAGAAGCCGACCTGTCAAGTAGTCCATCGGCAGTGGTCAAGATCTATCCATCCATCTGGACGGTGGCGGGTGCTTTTTGCTTTGACTTGGACCTGAGGAAGTCCTTAAAAGCCTCATATTCTTCTTTGCGTTCTTTGTATAATTTATCCCCCCCTCCCCTTCCCCTTGCTCTAACCCAGGAAGTCGTTAAAAGCGTCTATTGCGTTCTTAATATAGTTTATCCCCCTCCCCTCCCCCTTTGCTTTCTTTCACAGTTCCTAGTAGCCTCTGTCTCGACCCATCTTCGGATGTTGCATCGTTTCACGCGAACGGCTGTTTTTTTACTCAGGCAGCCTCTGGGCGTAAGTCCTGCTTCATCTTCAACTTCCCCGCGCCCACGGGTAAAAAGTGCGGCCGAGGTCCCCATGAATTTGGGAATGCTTTGCGTAAGTATTTACTTTCTCTTTTTCTGTCTGTGAATTTACATGGATGAGAGTTTCCTTTTTTGGATTTTTCAGCTAACTTTTAAAGATTTTAATAATAAAGAAGATGTACGAGTGCTATAGACTGATATAAATGTATTCGATACATAGCCAATCATTCATATATCTCGATGATTGCCGTGATTAAGCATGCCGAATTCGTGCTGCTGCTGCTGCATCATATCATACATACATACAATGTGCGCACATTATGTACACGTACAATACAAAAAACATATGCTTGTGCAGCAGTTGGATGATCATCGTGCAGAGTGTCTGAAAATATGTAACAATAAGATACAGTAGGGCATTGTATATACATGGAGGTGAGCTGATTTCATATTCTATTTCTCACGCCTTTTTTTCCTTTTACATATGGGCTGTGTGCGTACGTAGCAGTCAACTCTAAAGGATAATAAGGGGAGAACAAAGTTTTTTTATTGCCTTCTTTGTGTATGCACGCTTAGATCTACGTACAAAACAATAAAGTAACTAGAGGAAATAGAGAGATAAGAAAAGAGAAAGAGAACCATAAAAAAAAAGAAAAAGCTTACAAGGAAATGAAAACATCTACGACCGTATGTACAATGTCGTGGTAGTATAATAGAAACAAGAGAAGATGGGGGCGAGGGGAGTTGAACTGGCAAAAAAGGGCTTGTGTGTGGAAAAAATATACTGCATCCAGTGCAAGGCAATAGAAACAAAGAAAATATGATGTGTAAAACGTGAAAGAATACAGTACAAATTGAGTGAAGAAAATGGTTTACAAGCATAAAATAAAGGAAGAAGAGGGGTTTTATGGCGGTGGTAGTGGAAAGGTATCGTCAATTCATATACAATCCAGTCGTCATGCAACGGATTCAGCAAAAGAATAAGGAAAAGAAAAATCGAAAGCTGTTTGTTTCAAATCAAGCACTGATAAGTAGTGGGCATGATTATGGCCAATTGAAGCCATGGTAATCTAATTATCGATGGCTTAATACAACGTTCTTACTTGTTGCTCGCATGAGACATGTATTATAACTATGGCATAATCTTACCATCATTAGGATCATGCTGAAAGTACGGTGGTGGATACATGGATGGGATGTCCATGAGCTGTTGATACTGCTGAGCAACCACCGATGTCGACATAGTGCTAGCCGCAGCGGCCGCAGCAGCGGCAGCACCTGACATACTATTACTATTATTGGCATCTTGCATATTAAAAGCTGTCGTTCCCGGAGACATCGTCGTCATCATCGATGTTGGTGGTGTCGGCGCGCTGTCGTATCTTAAATCCATCATTGTCAGATGATGAGGATAGCTACCATTATTCACCATCAAAGTAGCAGCAGCAGGATGAGGGTGCTGTGTCTGATGTTGTTGTTGTTGTTGCCGTTGGTGGTACTGACGATGTTGCTGTTGTGCATCCAAGTGCTCGGGTCCACTCGTAGTAGGAGCCGCAGCGGTGGCGGCGGCGGCAGCAGCAGCTGCCATATTCATCATAAATTGCTGTTGTTGCTGATGATCGTAATAGCCTCGATGTCCCGTCATATAGTTCGGCATCATACCACCACCACTTGGAGTTCGCACCATTACGTGTTGTTGTTGGTGTTGCTGCCGACGCATGAAGGTTGTGGGCGTAACCACTGCTTGGTATTGCTGTTGTTGCTGATGTTGGAAATTGGAACGAGCTGCCTTTTGCTGCTGTTGGGCAGAAGAACGGCGGCGTCTTAGTAGTGCTGGCTGTGGTGTTGGTTGTTGTTGTTGCTCAGCCATAGCACTTACTACAGCAGCAGCGCTCTGGTCCGGGGGTGGTACAGCATCGCTCGTGGTAGTCATCATCATGAAGCTTGCATCCAATGACGATGTTGAATTCTGTCGCATCTTTCGCTTTTCATTCGTGGTTGTCGGGGTCATTGTCATGTTGATGCTTTCCATTAAGCATGCCGGCGGCGACCGTTTCTCTCGTTTCAGTGGCTCGTCGTTGTTGCCACTTTCGAAAGTCGAGGAAACTTTACGTTTGGGCGAAGTCTCAGTACTGGGTGCTGATGATGTCTTGTTTTCCTCACAAGTAATAGTAGTAGTAGCGTTTTTTATGTTACTGTGGCTATTACTGGTGGAAAGTGGTACAGCAGGTGTAGGTGACGGTGGTGGCGATAGTTGGGTCGCCGTACTATTGCTGTTGTAGGCTGCCGTAGTCGTATCGGTGCCTATGACAGCAATTTGGTCAATGGTAGCTGCTCCATTCGTATTCAGCAATAACTCAGGTGACAGATACATTGGTTGTTGTTGTTGTTGCTCGAGTATCGAAGAAGCAGACGAAGAAGAAGATGAGATGGTTCCGTCGAAGATACTGCCCGCCACGTTCTGTTGTTGTTGTTGGTGACGCTGCTGGGGCTTGGTTTTGGACGCTTGATCTCGAAGTCGCTCGTTTTCACGGCGTAAGTGCTCAATTTGACTTTGAAATTTTGTTTCTCGGTTAACAGAGGAAGAGACTTTGCATGGTAATGTGAAAGAAGAGGCGGAAGGGGGTGGGTTAGTCTACTGTGCTCCGAATGTGTGTTAAACCGAGAAATACGGGAGGAAAGTCATTTACCAAACTCCAGCGACTTGGCCACGATGACAGTTTTGCTAGGGCGACGCACAGTTTGTAAAGACGGCAACGCATGCGCAAGTTGTTGGAACTTGGAATTGAGGTTTTCACGGCGTTGGCGTTCAAGGGCATTGTGGGCTGAGCGCTTGTCAACATGGGCAAGGTCATTGGCACTGCTTTTCGTGTTATTACAAAAAAGGGATATATTTTTAGTGAGAAAGGAAAAGCTTGTTAATATGATAATGTATGCTAATTAAACTACTGTTCTTACCTTTCCTCGACATGTGCCATATCTGACGATGAATACACATTCCCTAAATATGGATGCTGTCAATAAATCATGTAATAAAACAACAGCTCAAGGGTCCACTTGCTGCTTCTGCTTAGTTGTTAATAAAATATGCACAAGAAAGACACTAACCATAGTGGTAGGATGGACCAGCAGTAAAGCTTAAAAAGTTATTGGAAGTGTTCCTAGCGGATCGGCCGCTGCTTATATTTTTAAATCGATGCGAAGGCATAGTATAATAGTGATGTCTGTTAAGTATACAGACAATATAGAGATGATAGAAATATAAAGTCACCCTTGTGCAGAAGAAGAAAAAGCTAAGGGGAGGGTGTTCCTGAAGGGGCAATAGCTGAAAAGGGTAGTATAAGGTATAATAAATAGTATGCGACTCGAGGCACAGAGAAAGAAAACCGGCCTATGCTGCAAAAAGGTAAAAAGAGAAGACAGAGAAGAGAAAGAAAAGAAAGAAATCAAGAAAAAAAAGAGGTTGGAGAAAACGCCAATAAAAGGTTTTCCGTGGGCGGTGTATTTATATACAGACGCCTTAGGGGTTAAAAAAGACGATGGGTGGTGCTTTCGATTCGGATATACTGGATGATTTGATATGCTGCTGTAGCGTTCCCAAATGCGAGCAATAATTGACGATCCTTTTTGACCGCTATGGAAAGAGCTGTTACCGCACGCGCCAACGCACACAAATACGCACGCACGCACGCACGCTCGATCACACAAAACGATCTGTGTTCGCTTGGATCTTTAAAGTACCGAAAAGAAAGAAGACACCACCATGCGATGTATACGAGCCTTTTGTTTTCAAGCGGCAATAGAAAGAACTGTCGGTCTAGCGGAAAATAAAGTCTGTACATCATAAAAAAAAGATTACGAAAAAAGGGTTCTCTTGCCATCATCAACAAGGGTGCGTGTTCCATTTGCAATCTGCCTTTCCAACGGATAACACCGAGAATATTACTTGTATTAGACAAGGCGAATTATCTTCAATGGTGTTATTTCCAGCACATACAGCATTCGGTAGCGTTGAATAATAAACGGGCATATGCAGGAAGGTCTGTGCATACTGCAGCACAATTTTCAGTCACAGAAACACATAATGCACACCTCCCCACCAACACAATAAGTGTTGTTTATACTAATGATAATTATAGCAAAAAAAAATTTATGACCTATCTCGGTCTCTCTTTTATTCTCTCTCTCTCTCTCTTTCTTATTTAGAGTATGATGCCGAATATACAAATCGAACAGCTGGTTTGATCACGCACAACACACATGTTCTCAGCATCGTTTTCTTCTCACTTTTGCTTCTTGGACTATTATCCCACTGTCAAGCACCACACTTTCTCCAATAGTGATATATACTAATAAGATAGCACCACCATGACGACAAACAAAGAAAATAAGGATCGTCGTCATGGTAACCAATACCCCGTGCACACCGAGCCAGTCTCTATAGCACACACGGCAACAACATGGTAACGCAGCATGTTGCTTGGTAGCGCAAAACTTCAACATTTTATAATTATTAGTACTATTAACATTGTCATCATAAAGAAAGCTTAAATTAATAAAGTTGCCTTACCCGCACAGCATTACAACGACAGTCTAGATCTGCCATTATTCTCGCTCGACCGAGGAAGGCTTGGGGTTGGGGGACTAAAACAAGAGTGCATTTTTTTTGTCGTTAGGGTCCATGTCTATCTCTCTCCTTTTGACTTGACTCGCTTATCCACCGCACTCTCTTTCCTTTCTGACTTTCTTTCTTTTTCTTTCTCGTAAACCTTGAACTGCAGTATCACGTTCCACTTTTGCAATGTCTTTGTTGACAGGATTTAGTATTTTTTACGCAACGCGATTGGCTAGTTTGTCCTTCCCATATGGTTGCACCACTTTGCTGCTCGTCTGCCTATCATCACGTGTATTACTGAAATTAAGAATGATTCATAATAGCATTTGCAGCGCCAACCCTGTCTATTAACCCCGTCATCATTATCATTATCATCATCATTTGACTAGAACCTAGCCAATCTTTCGGTACTCGCTCCGAAAAAGCAGTCGAACAAGGAAAGCGGGGGTAAACGATGGATAGAGTTGCCAAGAAATATATACAGATTTCCCTTATTATGCGTGACGCGTATGGGAGTGTATGTAAGTGGTATGTGCGTGCGCTCGCTATTTATGCTGCTATAATATGTAATGCACAGCTTAGTATATTTCTCATATACACACCTACATTCGTTTTATGCGCATCATCTTACAAGACTTATAATTACGCTGCAATATAATCCACGATGCGCTTCTTCGTGGTTGCACAAACAAAAGCGAAACGACAAGAAGAAGGGGGAATTGAGAGAAGATCCGATTTCTACGGTGCTATTACCATCGACAAATGAACAAAGGACTCGGCCGATGATGATGACCGCATGTAAAGATCGACGATGATGTTGATGACGCGTCCTCTTTGTTCTCCGAACCTGCACACCATTCATGAAACCATCATGAACATACAAGCCCATCATTATATTTTTTGCGCATCCTTCCAACCCCTTAGTGATGCCCCCCTAATTTATCGCTCGACTCTACCGATAGCAGTCAGTAAGAGTAATAAAGCTAGTCGTATAGGATAGTGTTTGTAGCAGATAGCAAATCGTGTGGTGAGAGCGTCTAATATAAAGACAGATCATCCAAGCAGTACATCCATGTTTGTGTACCAAAGCCGCTATCGTCTGTACTTTAAGCGCGTACTTTCATGGTTAACATATGATATGCGGGAAAATATCCGCTTCTGTTTGCTGCAACTGCATCAAAGCATCCCTATAATGACGAATAACACTTGTCGATGCGTCTTTGTTTCACGATTCTGCTCAGAAAACTACTTTTGCATTTTTCTTTGCAGTCGCAGAGAGCAGCACAGCCTTGTTCAGGAACAATTGGAACCTCTGATTCTAATTATGTATGTGTGCGATCGATTTTGATAGCAATCATTTTGTTTTTGCTGGTTCTTGTTTTGAAAGGTGTCAATGTAGATCATGTAACGTTGCTTGTGCAACCGCATTTTCGAAAATGTACTGATCATGGTTCTTCCAATCACCGACGTATATGTCAACACCTCGCTCGCTCCGAATCAGGGGGCTAAGGAGAGGGGTAAGCAAAACAGAAGGAATACAATATTTCGATCGATGGAAAGGGGAAAAAATATCACCTATTCTTTCGCGCGTAAGGCTCTTTTGACCATAACAAAGTACGAATGACAGATAAAGACAAACAGTTTATCCGAGGAAACACCCTTTAATTTTCTCTCACGTAAAGATGAACTCCTACTTGTTTTTCTACAGTAATAATCTGGTTGATCTAGCCGCTTCTTGTGCTGTGCTGCTGTGTTATGTGTGCCTAAGCTGCTGTATCATACAATACGTAGCACCACAGTGTCACAAGAAATGCTCCTTGCGCTGTTGGTATTGAAATTTTTTAGAAAATGTTTTTCGTCAAGGGTTCACAATATACCATTGAAATCAGAACTAGGATACTTGCTAGTAAGTAAAAGTAGTACTAGTAAAGTTTGAACATAAAATAAGGAAAGCCTCGAAAAAACTTGCATAAAATAAAGTGGCTTTGTATTAAAAAACCAGTTCATCATGCATACACGAGCAGCAAGGGCCCAATTTTACTGATTCTTGTTTTTGTCTCCTGTAAAAAAGGCGTGGTATGTATGTACTAGGAATTCCTTTAGCAAATACATAGGATTATTTCAGCAGCTTAGTAGCCAATAAAGGGTGTTCTCTTATTAGCGAATCAAACGAACCGGATTTCCCAACAAGAAAAGGAGTAAAAGCAGTATTTTTGCTCGACATTGTCGATTAAGAGTTTTTTTTTTGGTCTGAATCAATATTAAAATGATGCGCTTGCTCCTTGATATACCTAGAGAAGCACCACCGGCAGACAGGGGAGTATGATAAAAAAGGACTGCATAAAAACGCAAACTTGCGTCATACTTTTAGAGATGTATAAATATGTTCGATTGTTTATTACGCATCAGGGAAATAGCAAGAAACGGTAATGGCCTGCTGATTTTGAATCTGGAGTATCATGACAGCTTCACGCAAGTATTATACTCAGGGTAGATGAATTACACAAGTAAAATGACGCTCCACATACATCGAAAGAAAACTCTTTCTTGCAACTTGTAGAATCATGATTCACTTTGCTTCAACAGACCGCTTTGATACAGTTATTCATCATTGGTATTCGTATTTAATGTTCTTTACTGGGGCTACAACAACGACAACCTCTAAAATAATTTTAGATAGACAAAATGTTAAACTAAATATGATGTTACAAAAAAGGAGCATTATGAAGAATTTTTGAAGTAAGATTTTAAAGGTTTACTTGGGCGAAAGTTGTACACTGTGGTAGAGCTTCTAATACCTATCTATACCACCTAGGGACTAGAACCATGTTGTCCTCGATGGTTGTTGGCTGTTCATTTATTAGTGAGTTGTGTTAAAAATGTGGCTGAAACATATCAATACGCATAATACATCACACAGCACTTTACCTGTGATAACATCATATAACAAGCATCTATGATATCAAAAGATGATGAAAATGCCTATTGAAAAAATGTATATCATTACTACTCAGAACATTACTGCTAATGTGCGTAAATTATCATCATTGACTCTCTATACAACAGATGGATTTTTTATTATATGATAATTATTTATGATATTATATGAATAGATCATGTTTCCATACGTAAAAGGTAAAACGCCTCATCACCACTTTATCTATTATGTATACGTATGTGAAACAGCATCTTAGCATCTTCCTTCTCCCAGTATACTGTATACAAATTTATGTTTTGAAATTATCATGCTCAACTACCCTAGTTTACACATTGAAGCTAATGTTGCTTTGCGCAAGGATAAAGCTTGAATTGAACGGTGGTGCATTTAATCAACTTGATGCACAGTGTTTCAAAATTAAAGTTGATTGTTGCAGCAACAATAACAGCAGCAACAGCAACAGCAGCGTTCATACCGCCATACTGAGAAACAAGGCGTCACTTTCTTCAAAGAAACAGTTTGTTTTCGTTAAATTAATTCTATATTCTAAAATGCCATGTATTATGTATGTATCTACTTATTTATCGCAGTTGTGTTTATTGGGAGTAATCACCGTGTGAGCGCTTACCTCATTGCCATGTTTTCTGGTTGATACAAATTTAGAATGTTGTATGTTACACAGATCGACCTTCACAATCAAAGAATGTATCTTTTCTGATTTGCTACATTTCAATTGGTTGTTTGAACACACTCTAACTTTTTCTCTAGAATATAACCACTAGCAGCTGGCGCCAAAAAAGAAACGAGAGCTTCTCTCTCCTTTACATGATTAGCCCCTTACATACATACATGTAGTAGCCTACTATCATCTTGGTCTGGATTTGATGATCAGTACGGTAGCGAGAAGATTATTCTATTGTTCTTTTGCTTAGTAAAAGGTGCAAGAGAGCAAAACGTTACTGCTCTTTCTTATTAATACAAGTACTTCAGTATTGATGCTCGAAGGATTCACATCTGTCATACACTATTGTATATAATCTGTTAAGATCGTGTAAGCAGAAAACGCCGTTTGTATAGTACTGGTAGCTTCAAGATTTCGTAGAACCCGGTGATGGTTTCGGTTGCATTCGTCAGAAATGCTGGTGTTACGAGAAAAAATATAATCTCCCTCCATCTATCTTAATGGTATGAAAAAGTAAATAAATCTTGAAACATAAAAGGTTCACTGATTTTGGAATGAAGACTAAGACCCCTTGCTTCCCCCCTTCAACGTGCAAATTGCCGAATGAGTGGCCTTTTATTGATGGATGAAACACTTGCTGCATGCTCCGTGCAAAGAAGCATAGAAGCAGTATTTTAACGGCGAGCTTCTTATGTACAACTATGATATACAACAATGCGCAAGGATGCGCCTTTGTATCTTTTTTATTTCTTGATTTCCAGCTATTAGTTGCTGTGTTGTTGGTGCCTATTTTTCTTCTACTATACTTATTACACCTCCCTTCCTTTCGTTATTAGTTTGATTGCTTTCCATTTTCCAAAGGGCAAAAGCATCTTCGTTCTTTTTTCTTCTGCACAAAACAAAAATACTACCATCCTTTACACAGTAGCGTATATTTATACTGTTAAAGGTTTTCCTGCCGATAGCCGAGAATCCCACTAGATGTCCCGGAGAACAAGTTTTCAAACCGATCCTGGGTCCCACCAACCACCACAACCGTCCTTTACTACCGGTCCTCCGCCCTCACCAAACATCCACCGTATTATCATTGAGTCCCGGCACTATGACTCTACCAACAGCAGCGCAACCGTTACTAATCCTCAAAGTGAGCCTTCGTCGCCACGTAATAGCCAATACTATGCTGACAACAGACTTTCCATGGCAGCCATGGCCTTGATTGATGAGATCGATATGAGCTCAACGCTAAGTAGAAGGAGCAGTATCAGCCACCATATCATCATCGAGACGCCGCATGATCCGCAACAGCAGCACTACCAACAGCAGCCTATAGTACCACCAAGTAGCTCAACAATTGCATCAGGAAGCAACAGAAGCAGTATGGTCGGCGGCCCGTATTATTTTAACGAAAACAGCACGACAACGTTGTACAATCCACGCGCTGAACATTGGCGATACAGCACAGGGTACTATCACAACGCAAACAACCGCGCATCGATGCCACCAGGTCCATTGGCCGAGGAGGAAGAATACGATATCACCAATGCAGCTTCCGTCGCTCCGCACGCGGAGAAGTACCACTCATTTGATCTTGATCAGATGGATAAAGTCACCAACGATCCAACACATAACAACAATGATAAGGATCACACAAACGCTCTAAGCAATCTCGAGATTGCTCAAGCAGCAGCAACAGCAGATAATTGCGACAACCACACAACAGCACTATCATCTTCCAAACATGCAAAACGAAAGTACATGCATAAAAAACTGAATGCCACCAACAAGACTGCTAAATCTTTGTTCATCAAGTATTGGTTCTTATTGGGTTTGGCTTTTGTCATTGGAATGGCATGGCTGTTCCCGGATGTCGGTAAAGCCAACGGTACGATACAAGCGCAGTATACAGTCAAATGGGGCGCCGTCATTGTTATTTTCTTGCTATCCGGGTTGGGTATCGATGTTCGCGTGATGCTGAAAACGATTCTGCGGTGGCGACTCCATTTGGTTATTCAAGTGATAAACTTCCTTGTCTTGCCGTTTCTTATGTACGCCATCGTCCTTATGCTTATTACTGCAAATGCCAAGATCGATAATTCGGTTTATAAGGGCTGGATGATTGCATTATCGACCAGTACGACAGTATCATCTAACGTGGTCATGACGAGAAATGCTAAAGGAAACGATAGTGGGGGTATGTAGTAGATCAAGTTGGAACACATCCTTTAATTCGAATATGTATGGAAGTTACTTGCTCTGTTTACTAATCAAAATTATAATGTCATATTTTTACAGCATTATTCAATGCTGCATTTGGCAACATTCTTGGCATCTTCATTTGCCCTGCACTAATGACTGGTAAAGAAAGACACATAAAAAAACCAAATGCGCAAATCTTGAATTATAGCGTAAGCTGACATATTCCATTTTGATTTTGTTGCTCTCTTTTTTCATACATTTGATTCAGTTTTCCAACAAGATGCGCGTGTTTTTCCACCGGGTACACCTCATGGTAATCCAGACTATGTCAATATCCTTCGCAACCTGGGTTTTACTGTACTTCTACCACTTGTTGTTGGCCAGCTGGTTCGATACCGATTTTCGGAACCAGTAAAAAAGATAGCAGCCAAACTACGTTTTCCTATCATCAACAACCTCGCTCTGCTATGTCTCGTTTGGTCTGTATTTTGCGATGGTGTCGCTAGCAATGCATTCGATCAGATGACTGCTGTCGACATCGTCTCGATCGTCTTTGTGGATATTTTCATGTACGTCTTTGGGTGCGCCTTGTGCTTATTCGTTGCCCGAGCTCCATGGCCGTCCAAATTTGTATCTGAGCCTCAGTGGATTTCGCAATGGAGATTTGGTAGGGAAGATACTGTAGCTATTATGGTATGTAAACGATGGTCGTTACCATTCTTTTGATAGTTTAAGACGTAACACGAATTAGCAGTATAATAACACCTCGTCTGGTTACAATTTTTTAACTTAGTATTGTGGCGCGACCAAGACAGTATCCATGGGTATTCCTTTGATCAATGTTCTGTACTCTCAAAACAGCTACGGTGTAGTTGGTGTACTTTCTCTCCCGCTATTACTTTATCATATTATCCAGTATGTGACTTTTGTTTTATTGCATATTTTGTTTTTCGTCGTTACACTCACACACTTGCACCATGTGCTTATAATAGATTGTTCATTGGCAACTTTCAAGTTCAGATCCTTAAAAGATGGATCGTCAAAAATCGAAACATAAACAATGGTGACAAGCGCAGCAATGAGAAGCATCAAGTCGGTGGGGCGGAAGAACCAGGTCTGGTTGCTCCAGCTGCAGATATCGCCACCGCTACTGCTACTGTCACAACAACACCATCTACTTTCAGTGGCGACATGAACCAAAGGGGTAATCATGATGATACGGGCTTCCACCAATTCTGTTATCCATCTCCTACGGTTGGCCACAAAGGAGGAGGATCTCTCCAACAACAGCAGAAACCTGATGACACTAGTAGTCTTGAGCAATCTGCATCACCTACATTACTTCGATCGATGACCTCCAACACTGCCAAAGATGGACCGACTGCAACGACAGCAGCAACGAACAAGCCTGCACGAACATTTGAAACGTCCGAGTTGACAGCGATTGAAGTTGCTCCAGCATGGCAGATAGCACAACAGGAAACCTACGATGTTGCTCCTGTTTTAGCGGACCATCAGCAACTTCAAAGAGCGCAATCGTTTGAAAGTGCTCGATCTCGGTTGTCAATTACATCAATTGATAACGACGAACAAATTAGAGAAGAGCATAGAACTGATATGCGAGTTATAGGTAATAGAAGCAGTATTACGATCACTGCCAGCAACCTTCAATCCAGCACTAGCGCTTCCAATGTAAAACAGTAAACTATAGCTGATTATAAACCACAGTTTTCAAAAATGTTGTGTTTCCTCCCGTACTATTGTATTATCAGTATCAAATGGAACAAGTTGTATTATGTAATATTAGAAATCTTGCTTATTTATATTATTAGGCATCGTGCTTGACTATTCCAATATATATCATTCATCAAAAATCCAATAAAAGAAGTGGACTGATAATCCTTCCATATTGGGCTTTAGAAGCATGACCATCCCTTCATTTCTGAATGAAATTCTTAGATAGTGCGTGAGGACAATAAAGGTTAGCAAATCATGGCATTTTAAATGAAAACAGAGAAGAAACTTTTGGAGACCGTGGTAGTACAAGAGGGTGATTTACCATGCAAGATCAGCAAGTGACGCGCCCAGCTGGACGAAAACGTCGGAGGACTACTTAGGCGCACAGGGCGACCACACCCGTTTCTATTCCGCTTCAATCGAACCTCGAGGAAAAGAAGGTGAACCTTTTTCTTTCTTTTTTCTACATGTTCTCAAAACCTAACCCATTTGAAGAATCTGTCGGTAAGTGACTATGTACTGTTAATGCAGTCAGTAATTTAGTGAGCTAAGATAAATACTTGCAAAGAATTTATAATGTTTGTGGCGGATGTGCATATTTGTAAAAGCGCCAAGGATAACATAACTGACTTCGATTGCTCTATAGCTGCTGCGACCAACGAAAATCTCACATCTGAAAACTGGGAGCTTATCCTGGGTGTTTGTGACAAGGTTTCTCGAGGAACACCTGAAAAGTAATTGTTTGATCATTTGAACCACGTAAACTGGGTGCCAAGCCTTGGCCTTCCTTCTCTTTTCTTTTGCAGGGAACTTCCTGCAGCTGCTTCGCGGCAATCCCCTTTGAAAAGGGACGGGGCACGGGAATTCTCTTGGCAATAGTTGAAAGAATGTGGAGAATTAAATCTAACGCTTTTGGATCTCTATAGTGCCCGGGATTGTGCTACTGCTGTTACCAAGCGATTTACCAGCCGGAATGCCAACGTCCAACTGTACGCCTTGGCTGTAAGTTCGCTTTCCTGCGTTTGCTTATCTATTCACCCCCTTCCCGTCCTCAAGTTTATGCTAAAACGCCATAAATGTCTTCTATATAGTTATCAGAAGCATTGGTGAAAAACTGTGGTATTACAGTACACCGAGAGATTTCGTCCCGCGTGTTTACAAATGCGTTGAGCAAGCTTATTCATGATAAAGTAAGAACGAGTCATTGAAAAGGAATAGAAAGGGTTATGCAAAATTGTTGTGGTTCCGTTTCTTTTCTTAACGATCATGATGCATGTACATACATAGACTACGCATGAAAGTGTGCGCAAAAGAGCACTTGAACTTATTCAAGTATGCTCCCTGGAATTCAGCACCGATTCGAGCCTTGGACTGATGAATGAAGTCTATCATTCACTTCGTGCAGAAGGGATTCAATTCCCCAACCCACAGAAGCCAAAGAAAGAATATACCCAGGTAAAAGCAAATTGATTTTTGTGTTCTATCAATTATTAATCACTAAACATATACTGGATGGTATATGGTATATGAACTACAGACCGAGTTGGATAAGCAAAAGGAAGAGGAAGAGCTTCAGTTGGCACTTGCGTTGTCATTGTCGGAATCCGAGAAACGATCTACTTATCGGGTAACTCTTAAAAAAAGATTGGGTGTGGGGGTCTAAGATGCGTACTTGATTACTAACTGGTATGGTGATCGCTCTAATTAGGCTTCTTCTTCTGTTACCAAGGCAACCGCATCGTCGGCATCTAATGTTGGTACTACGGACGCTGCTGCAGCACCAAAGGTAACTTATTGTCGAAAGATACATGTATACAGTAACCGGGAATACAAATATGATACATACCTAATGTATATGAATTATACATAATATAGCCCAAGCAAGATGTTGCTCCAAAAGTATCGCGGGTGCGCGCGCTTTATGATTTCCAGCCTACCGAACAAGGCGAATTGGGTTTTCAAAAGGGCGATATTATCCGAGTTATTGAGAGTGTCTACCGCGATTGGTGGAAGGGAGAACTTCGAGGACAAATGGGCATTTTCCCTGTGAATTACGTGGTATGTTTCTGTTGATATCGTTATCCCTCGCAACTTCTTTGAATAGCGGTAAGGAGTGAAAAATTAACTAAATGGGATACAAAAATAGGAAAAAATTGTGGATCCCTCGCCAGCAGATTTGCTAAAGGAAGCACAAATGGAAGCCGAAGTAATGGGTGAGCTCCAGAATGTGGATCGTCTTTTGGATATGTTGACACGCATCGACCCGCAAAAGGATGCATTCTCGGAAAATGAAGAATTACAGAACCTGTACAATAATTCACTCGCTATCCGCCCCAAGCTCGTGCGTTTAATTGAAAAATACAGTCTAAAGAAAGGTATGTAATTCGGATTCTTCTCATTTACCCTTTTCCAGTGGCGTTCAAGAGAGTAATGCTTATTGTTTGTGTTATTAGATGAACTGATTGCCTTGAATGAAAAGTTCTTGCATGCTCGAAGCATGTACGATAGAATGTTGGGATCGTCGCTTGCCAAGTACACATCTCCAGGTGCCCCAAGTGGTAATAACACCTGTAAGAGTAACTTATCCGCTGGTCTTTCGCTACTAATGCTTGCGCTATATAGGCCATGAATATTCGACGCCTCAGCAGACGCAAGGTTACGGCGTGTACCCACCCCAACAACAGCAGCAACAACAGCCAATGCCACAGCAGCCCACATATAGCGGTGGTCCTCCATCTGAGAGCAGCTATCAAGCTTATCAGCAGCAACCTCCTCAACAACTGCAACAACAACCCACCGCATACCCACAAGGCTATCCCCATACTCAAGCTTCTCCTGGCGTGCACCATCAGCAGCAACAGTATCCGCCTGCTATTCAGCAGCAGCAGCAGCCACCGCAGCAGCAGCCACCCCAACAAATGCCTCAACAATCTCCACAGCAGGCGCCTCCACCTGCTTATGGATATCCTGAAACTGCGCCAGTACAGCAGCAACAGCAGCCTCAATCACCGTCTAATCCACCTGTGGAGCAACCCGTTGCTCAACAACAGCAACCACAGCAAGCTTATGCTCAAGTTCAACCCAGCAGCACTCCCGTTTCATATCCCGCACAGCCATCCTATTCCACGCCGTACCCTCCTCAACAGCCCCAGCAACAGCAGCAACCAGAACAACAACCACAACAAAGCTACAATCCCTATGGTATGGGCACACCCATGACTCCTCAGCAACAGCACCCACAGCCTACTGCGTATCCGCAGTATCCCCCTCAGCAACAACACACTGGCGCCAACCAGCAAGCTTATGCTCAGAACTACTAATAGTTTAGTCTTGCCGATTCCTGCTGAAATAAATAATTTGACTGGATAAACTTTTGACAGCTCTGTCTGTCCTTGTCGCCGACAACTCTACACTTGGTTTTTCTTTTTTTGTGCTGTAACAAAAAATAGCAATAATAATGATACCCAAGGTACTTTATTAGACTGCACTGCACCCTTTCTTTCCCCCATTCATTCTTGAATCAAATTCACAATGTTCGAAAACCCCCTCACTTAGAGAGCTCTTTCGACAACAGCCAAGCGTATTATCTTCTCGGGTATTCAACCTACCGGCATTCCACACCTGGGCAACTATCTCGGTGCTTTATCAAATTGGGCCAGTCTACAAGAACCGGGCACGACCAATTACTATAGCGTTGTTGACCTTCATGCTATTACTATGCCGCAGAATCCAGACGCATTGCGCCAGGCCAAGTTCGACATGGCCGTCAGTTTACTGGCGTGCGGTGTAGATCCGGAAAAAAGTATTCTGTTTGAACAAAGCAAGGTCAGGGCTCACTCTGAGCTTGCATGGATATTCAACTGCTTGACGCCTGTAGGATGGTTGGGTCGCATGACTCAGTGGAAGTCAAAGATGGATAGTGCACGAGGTCGTGTTTCCTCACACGCAGAAATATTGGCAGACGAGTCGTTGACGACTGGGTTAAAGATGGGCTTGTTCGATTATCCCGTATTACAAGCCGCTGATATTTTGCTTTACAAGTAACGTATACACCTCTTTTGGTGAAGATATTACCGCTGCTGTGTGTCCTTGCTGCATGAACTAAATGAGCATTATGTATATCTAGAGCGACTCATGTACCTGTGGGACAAGACCAGCTACAGCACCTTGAACTTGCACGCGATACTGCAAAGTTGTTTAACAAGACATTCAATCAAGAAGTGTTTCCCAAACCCGTCGCGATCATACGTAAGCAAGCTTTTATGTGTGCATCATCATATCTGTTTTTGTTTTAACAAAGATGAGATACGTCGTTGCTAACTTATGTATAGCACCCGAGACGCAGCGCGTCATGTCATTGCGCCAACCTACGGCTAAAATGTCCAAGTCTGACCCCTCTGATCAGTCGAGAGTCAACCTTACTGACTCTCCAGAACTTATACAAAGCAAGATCCGTCGAGCCATGACCGATTCACTGCCCGGTGTTAGCTATGATACAAAGGAGCGTCCTGGCGTATCTAATTTACTGAGCATTTACAGTGCTGTACGCAATATTAGTATAGAGCAGGCTGTCAACGATTTTGCTGATGTGCAAAGCACAAAACAGTTCAAGGAGCAAGTAGCAGATGCAGTCATCGAGCGACTTGCTCCCATCCAGGCTGAACTGGTACGATTACAAGCTGACGCTGGGTACGTCCGACGTGTATTGGATCAGGGTGCGGACAAGGCAGCTGAAGCCGCGTACAGCCATATGGAAGAAGTCTACAAGGTGGTTGGCTTGCGATAGCAGTATATAGTAGTGGTATCAGATAATCATATACACATTATTTCGAAAATAGAAGCTACAACAACAGTAATTATGGTAAGGAGTAATAGTGATGATAATAGTGATGATGAATACAATGACATTACGGTGATGGTAGTGGCAGTAGAAGTGTGAAAGTCTTGTTGCCGCTGTTGCACCAAGGGTCCTATAAACCATTTGTCCGGATGATTCTTTTGGAAAGTACGATCGCCAAAGCCAATATGCCATTGCCGTCCTGAATCCTTTTCGTTGTCCTCGTCTTCGAACCCTTCTTCCAGTCTCGTTCCTCTCCACCGACCATGGCAGTCCTCATAACACGTGTTATTTGGGACAAAACCCGGATCCGTCAGCTGTTCAACGGCCAGGCCTGTCTCATCCGCGATCCATCTCAGCATGTTGGAGAGATTGCAGAAACTTTCAATTATAGTTGGCACTTCACTTTCAATGCGAAATGGAACTGGACATGTCGCGTGATTGGGATCTTGATCGTATACACCAAATATTCTTGCCAAGAGACCTACAGCCACCGGCGAAGTTGTGGTGGCGTTGACTTGCTTGTGGACAATTAAAGGGCTTCCTAAACAAAGCATGATAGCCTTTTAAGTATATTACTGTCACTTGCACCTCCCCTCTTTTACTTCTGACGCATACACAACAAATACTTTGTATTAGTATACAAAAGCCGTACCTGAATCACCATGGCAAGCCATTTCGCTGTCATGGGAAGACATGGCTTCTACCATATCCGAGTAGCCCGCAGTGAACCTTGTGACATTGACTGCTATTCGCTGCAACGTCGGTGCCTCTGGTTTGTCAATCCTTGTATAGCCGTAACCCATCAGTTCTGCCTGTCGTGGTATGTCAAAGTCCTTTGCAGACCACAAGGCAACTCGAGCAACAGTGTCAGAAGGCTTCAGCGGCTTCTGGAGCTTGACGATGGCGATATCGTGATGCATATCTACCTGTCCATTGCTGTCCTCGTAATCTGGATGTACGATCCAATCGGTAATAGTGTTGATCGTTTGGCTTTTACGGTCAATATCTCCGTATCCAACAAAGTACGGATTATGCCTCGTTGTCAAGCTCAATGGGTGTGGGGCATCAACCACGCAGTGAGCAGCTGTAAGGATGATGGCAGGGTTGAATAATAGGATCACGCCACCGCATACATGTGGATTACCGAGCATGACATAATATGGAAAGGTTGTCGGATCAGTAACGTCTGTTCCATCTTGGATCGCGAATACAACCGCTGGAATGAGCACTACAAGCAGCGCTACTACAAGTATTCCAGATAAATGCATCATTGTATTGATTATATAATATTCGTTGATCGATCTATCAAATTAAAAAAAGGCGGGCAAATATAGATGAAGTAGGGGAGGAAAGAAGAACGCGCGATGCGCGCCTAAGATGGTAGAATCGAGGTATAAAAGAGGTTAAGAGAGAGAGAGAGAGAAAGAAAGGGAAAGAGAAACGGAGGGCATTATAGTATGTATTATCTCTTGCAACTTTGGCTCTGACATGAATGAAGAATATAGGATATACATGGTTCGAATGTGGATGCATGGAGTAAAATGAGTTTGATGAAAGGGGGTGAGCAGCCTGCTGGCTCTCTTTGCGTTTTTTACACATTCCATCCCTTAAGCCCCAAATTAATGCTAGTGGCAAGCCACTCTTCCATAGACGACGATAATGTGCCGATCCATCCGATATGCAGGTCCGGTCGAATAACCACCGCCACAGGTGCGTCTTCGTCCTTGACACCATATCCGTGATGGCACTGTGCTTGGTTAATCTTGTCAATTAAAAGCGCCTGCTTGCTAATGACGCTAGGCGTTGCATCAATAACGCCCTTTTGAGTTGTCGTCGTAATGAGGTGAATCTGCAGCCAGCTCCAATCCTTGTCCTTGAATGCTTCCAAAGCTTCTGCTACGCGTGCCGCGGTCTGACATAAATCGCCAGCCAGAATCAACAAATGGAAGCACCAGCTATCTTTTGTGCGCCAGAGATCGTAGAGACGCGCTTTTTTGCTTGTGCTGTATGCTACCACCTTGAAATCAGGTGCACGGTCGCCTGCTCGTAAGAATCCTGCCGACGATCTTGGTGTTCCAGTTGCGTACGACACACCAAATCCAGTAGTCAATTCTTGATTCTCACGAATGAGGCTCATTAACGGCTCATCCTTTGAAACGTTCTCAGAAACTAGTCGGTCGATGGCAATAACCTTTTGTGCTATGGGACGCCGCTCGGGTTCGTATGTAGATAGCAGGACTGGCTTCGCAAGACCAGCGTTCACCATGGCGATTTTCCAAACCTATTCCGAGTTACGCGTGTTATTGCTTTGTTGCTCTAAGTACACATGAAGGTGCCGTTGCATAAATAGTTTCATTACCAAATTAAAAACATCGCCGATGCCAGTATTCAAACCTTGACCCAGGGTTGGACTTTGTGAATGGCAGGCGTCGCCACACAAGAAAACGCGAGGCGTATCACCTGCGTTGTCGGTATATCGAGCTGCGACATGCTGACCAACGCTGTACACCGTCCACCACATTACTGCCAAAAACTCTACGCGGTGAGGCAAAAGTGCTCTGCGTGCCTCACTTTGCACAGTCTCCAAAGGAATTTGATTTCTGTCGCGATCATCCGACGGAAGTTCCACCATGACACGAGTCAAGTTGTTTTCGCGTGGAAACAGGCATGCATGGCTTCCAAAAGGTCCTCGAACGAAACTGTATCACTGGGATTAGCATAAAAAGAATAAATTCTGTCTTTCGTAATAGATAGCTCCTGCCAGCATTTCACTCGTCACATACCTGATACTTTTTCGGTCAGGGAAATTGGTTTGCACCAAGGCATCTAAAACACCACAGTTCCGTTTACTTCCGTTGCCTTCATAGCCGATTCCAAGCTGCTGCCGAATTGAGCTGTGTGCACCATCACATCCTAGCAAATATTTGGCACGAATCACTTCTGTCGCATGATTTTTTTTGTTCTCCAACGTTGCCAAAATAGGATACTCTTCTCCTTCTTTTTGAGTAAATTGTGTAACAGTGACCGGGCGTTCGACTTGGATACCGTTTTCCGAAAGCGTGTGCTGGAAGTTCGATTCTGTAATATGTTGCCCAACGCAAAGAAGATGCCTGTTTTATGTAACATTTTTTAATTAGAATATGTAAAAGAGAACATGATGGTTCCAGTAGCAAACTGGCTTTGCAACATACATCAACCAAGAAAGACCAATATCTCGTTGTATTACTCCATACTTACTTGTACTTTGTAACGATGGATTCAGGGACAAAATCCATGCTTGTTCGTCCAGCTGTCGCCGTATGGTTGCGAGGCGGTAATTGATGGTGCACTGCTAGCGTTTCCACCTTGCTGCCTGTTCCTAAGAGATCAGTATTAAGCCCGGTGTAGTCAAGAATTTCAAGTGTGCGGCCATGGAGCCAGTCTCCGCGGCCCCAATGCTGTGGTTCAGATTCGATGTCTACAGTATTTATTATATTATGTCGTATAATATTGTGTGTTGGTGCGAGATTGTCATTTTTTTACTATCGTCGTGTGATACTAAAAACCTCTCCTTCAATTTTATTACCTACAATCCGCATGGTCAAGCCGGACCTGACGGCCATGTTTGCTGCGAAAAGACCAACGGGTCCTCCTAAGAACAAAGTGAAGCAAAAGGATATGTGGTCAAAGACTTTTATACACCGTTTTCAAACGATTATCGATGATGTATGTTTCTTTACCTCCAACGACTAGTACGTCAACTTGGGATGGAGATTCTTCACTCATGAATATATGTGCTTTGTGAAAAAGAGTATGATATGTGTTAAATTGAAAAATAAAGATGTAGCAAATATATATATGAATGCTTCGGCTAAACTGTGGGCCCATTTTTTTAATTGACTGTATGGCATGATCAAACTTTTCTATTAGAGTCCAACAAAAGCGGGGTTCGAGCATAAGCATGGACCTTGTACTAGTCAGATTTCTATATTTGCCACATTTCTGTAGTATATGAAGGTTGATTTTTTGGAAAGTTGTAATATCATGCTTTTCATAGTCTGATACCACTTTCTATGCACTCCTGTCTTTGAAAAAACCCGCGACAACTGATTAAACGTGCTTGTGGAGTTCTATCATTTGTCCAGTACAGTCACTTTGTTCATCCTTTATTTTTTTGCTTATATCAGACGAATTTGTGTGTTGGATTAATAGTGCTCACGCCATCACTAGTATATAGCGCCAGATATGCATGCACTAGTGCGCTCGACAAGGTATACTGTGTATGTATATACCATAATTGCTTAGGAAATCCCATGTGTTTGAAGCCAAAGCTCAAAAATTCAGAGGAAAACCTTTTCCTATCTGATATTTAGTTTACGACCAAGGTTTAAAAAGTACGGCGTTTGTCATTCAGTTGGTTATACTATTTTGTTATCAGAGTCCTTGCTATTTTCAATGAACTGCTGTTGTTAACATCAATTCGAGTTATTCGCTGTTTACGTTATTCAAAAAGACCTTAGCTTGATGTTCATCAATCTCAGCACAAGGTGGTTTCTTGGTATTGTTAATGCTGTCGATAATATAGATGCTTGAGTGTGCTTCTGTCAAGTGACATAGTCGATTGTATGCATTTTATATACACGATGTAGTACGTGGTGCACGCTTATCTTAGAGGGAGAAAATAGTGTAATTAAACAATCATTGAATGACTTAACAATCTAATATTTCTAGTAGTCACCCCGGCGTGTTGAATGATTTCGAAAGTACACTGCTGTCTTGCTTGGTGACAAAGATTAATCTTTGTGGTTTTCAACGAGAAACCTCGTCGATTACCCCATCTCAACCAGCGGTAGCCCAAGGAACATGGCGCTCTTTTTATATCGGGGAACAATGACAACTGTGAAGAAAGCAAGAATCGTTGTTTCGTCCCGTCAAATGACGGGCTCTTGCTTCTATTGACATATGACATCCGAATCGACCCGACCAACAGCGACAGCAGGGTGCGGACTCTATGTGTCATACAGCGTCTCCGCACGGTAGCAGTTCCCCACACGCTGTCCACTATAATCATTTTATGCAGGCAAACACATGAAAGAAACAGACAAATGTTATAATCAGTATATTTTGTAAATCACTTATCTCTATAGACGTAGTGTATAGATTGATTACCTTCGACCTCCTCTTTGCTCTAATAGTGAAAAGAGATCAATGCGATCTCTTTTCTTCTTCGTTTTTGGGTTGATCATCGGCTGTGCTATGATATGATTCAGCGTCCGCATACAAGTACTTCGGGTAAACATTGGATCTTTTTTTCACTCTCTCTATCTCTCACTGGTCTTATTTATCTATAATGACTCAATACGCCCATTTGCTTTCGACGAATTACAAAAGAATTATTAGCGAATATCTCGAAGAAGACGTTCCGTCGTTCGACTATGGAGGCTACGTTGTAGGCGAAGATGAACAGGTGGCTATCTTGTACTGCAAAGCTGAAGGTGTCCTTGCAGGTGTGCCTTTCTTTGACGAAGTGTTCCGCCAGTTGGACTGCCGGTAAGAAGACAGGGATAGAGAAAATAAGGAATTCGGCGGAATGGCTCATGTGGCAATGTAAAAAAGTGTTGAATGGTCGGCCAAGGAAGGCGATTGGATTAAGCCTGAAGGCAAACAAGAGATTGGTCGAGTTTATGGCAAGGCACGTCATATTTTGCTCGGTGAACGTACGGCTTTGAATATTATCTCTCGCTGCAGTGGTATTGCCTTGAGGTACAAACATACTCTAAATGTAGAAATGAAAGAAAGAGTGACACCATGAAGTAGCATCCTTGCTGACAGTTGCCATAACCACCTGACGTGTAGAGCACGTAACGTATCCGAGTTACAAAAGGCCAAGGGCTTTGAAGGTGTTATTGCTGCCACACGTAAAACCACGCCAGGTGAGGAATAAATCAGTGTGGGTTAGGATCCACTGATTATGCATGCTAAGAAGAATAAGCTGTTTGATTAGGCTTCCGACTGGTTGAAAAGTACGGCGTGCTAGTCGGAGGACTTGATACGCATCGCATGGATTTGTCGTCCATGGTCATGCTCAAGGACAACCACATCTGGGCGTCAGGTAAGCGCTGTGAGGTATCCAAACGTGTGACATAGTGACAGATGGACTGACTCGGGATGTGTTATAACAATAACAGGGTCAATTACGGAGGCTGTCAAGAATGCTCGCAAAGTATGTGGATTTGCACTCAAGATCGAAGTCGAGTGCCAGTCGGAGGAGGAGGCGGATGAAGCCATTGCTGCCGGTGCAGATGTCGTCATGTTGGACAACTTTAGTGGCGAAGGCTTGAAGGCTGCAGCCAAAAGCATCAAGGAACGTTGGGGTGCAAAGGGCAAGAATCACTTTTTGATTGAAAGCAGCGGAGGCATCACCTACGAGACGTGTGCCAACTACTTCTGTAAAGGTAACGAGGACGAGGTTTTAGTCAAAAGGGGTGTATTGACACTTGCAGTAGTACTCATCATGCATATTATTTTTGGTGGTGCGATATAGACATTGACGTTCTGAGCATGAGCACGATCACCCAAGGCGTTCCCCATGTTGACTTTTCGTTAAAGATCAGCCCTAAAAATTAATAGCCATTTTTTCTTTTGTGTTCTTCTTTTCTTTGTTTGTTAAGCCTAATAATAACATATATTTAAAAAAGGAATGGATGAAGACTCCTATACCCGGCTGTTAAGTGCACCATGGAACTGTGTAAAAGCAAACGACGACAATGTCTATTATCTGAAATACCATACGGACAATACCGGTTATCGTTTACTGGTCACCGATCTACGACGTGTGTGGTACGATGCCGCCAACGCCAGAGCACTAAAGAAGCAAGCAAGCAGCCATCGACTTGTCATTGACGATGACGAGCAATTGCAGCAGTTGCTGAAACACCTTGAAACATTTCTGCACGATGTGAAGGGGAAATGTCAAGTGGAGCAAATGAAGGAAGGCCAAGAGCTGCGAATTAGGGGCAGTGAATCTCAAGGGTTCGCGACACTAGCGTGGACGTTCATGTGCAAAGCATTACTCGCAGAAGCTCCGACGGTATTGTACGACCATTTTATTTTGCCAATGTTGATGCTAGCCGGAAAGGCGACGAACCAACCAGGTAAACTCCTTGCCTTCCCTTCTTTGTTCTTTTTTTTTCCGTACGGCACACTTGGATTATTGATCAAGGCGAATAGATGTGCAACATGACATTTCATTTGGAAAGGTAAAACGTCACCTCCACCTTCTCTAATCTTTTTTTTCCCATGTCAATAACATATGCCCACGCTGCTGCTACTGCTGTTGTTGACCTATTTTCAAATATTAGCCTGATGAAGCATGTATTTTGAACGACTCTTGGTTGAAGAGAATGCACAAGGCATCCGCGAGCATTGCTCAAAGCAAACGAGCACACAGTGAAGTAGAAACCGAGTTATGTAAGCCAGCTTACACAAAGGAAGAGGCGGGTGAATACGTGTTTATAGAAAAAAAAGGGGGGGGTGGTGTGTTGTTGCGTTGGGGCGATAGATGGAAGAATTAATCATCCACCGCCGTGTACATTCACACTCACACATACACGCCATACATAACATTCGATTAGCGCCGTCCTCAACAGCAGCAACGGAAGCATCGCCAACGCCAGCAAGAACAGCGACAGCACCTGATCATGCAGAACCAGATTCGGCCGACGTTGCGCAAGAAAGCCAGCTGGCCTCTTCCTCCTTGGTAAGAAGAAGGATGCACGTAACATTTTAATCATTCTCAGACCGAAAAATGCTAACTAATGCAAAGAGCGAGAGCAGTAACAGACGAAAAGAGGGACGGGTGGTAAGACAAAAGCCCAAGCAGAAGAAACGGCGACTCTTTGGATAAGATATCTCGCGAGCAGTTCCATTGTAGTATGTGTATAGCACAACATGGACCTTCATGTATCATGATTTTTGCTGGACAAACAAAGGAACAAGGGCAACACTATTATTATTAGCTATTAGGTATATAATACTATTATCAAAACATTATATCATTAAAATGAACACAAAAAAGAAAACTACTAATGGCAAGTACAAGAAAGGGAGAGATTAAACAATGGCTCTGTGTGTGTCTTGAATTATGAATGGAAGAAAAGGCGGCAAGCGGAAGGGTATACAGACAAAGAATACGTAGTGTAGCGTGTAATGCAACTAAAAGGTAGCAGAGGGTGTAAAAAAACTGCGTTGTTCCTTGTCACCCGAATGGGTAGTCAGGCGATCCGGGCTTGGCAATCGAAAGGCTAGCTCATCCTGATCAATATCGAGCCAGTGATCACGCTTGCTGTCTTCACAAGGACTCGGTGGGAGAAAAAATCCGCTGTCATTGATCGTCGACAATTTGAAGATATCGCCCTTGGCCGTCTCCCTCAGAACAATCGTCAATTTGTTCTCGTTTCGCTTGTTGCTGTTACTGCTGTTCTTGGGCACATCAATGGGCTGTACCGAAGGAGACTTTTCATCAACCAGAGGCGCGGTCTTGTTGGATCTTTGCCACAGACGGGCTGGCTTGCTCAGCAAGGACCGGTAGCCTCCAGAGGACGTGCCGGGTGGCTGTTGAGGCTGTTGCTGTTGCTGTTGCTGGGCAATGACGACGGCTGACATGTTGATTATTAATAATAAAAGTTAAACAGTAGAAAGTTACAAATGTAGAATAGAAAGGAAGAAAGAAAAAGGCTGCTTGCTGATTTTCATCTTTTTATAAATAAAACTGTACATCCTTGTTGGAAAAAAACATGCACTAAAAAATTATGTTTGTCAGGTGATCGTCAACAACAACACCAACTGAGAAATATGAAAGGCAAACCACACATGCACTACACCATATCATAATGGCATGGTCTGTGATACGATACGAGGATTTTGTCATGGCCGGGTAATCTTCCTTTCTTCCCCGTATGCCGGATAAAGGTATGCTGCACACTATTCTCTCTACTATCTCTTTGTGACGCCTCGGCTTATCATACAGACACCAATGAGATGGGAGCTAGCAAAAGCTAGTCTATGATATCACCCTGTTTTTGGCCAAGAAATATTTCGAGGAAAGAATGTGGCCCATGCGAGCGCAAACGAGTGTGTTGATAAAATGACGTTGTTGTTGGTGCTACAAATACACATACTTGATAACTCAAGTCAAAAAATAAAGAACGAACGCCGAGGGACAATATACGAAAACTATGACGTGAGAGTGAAAGAGAGATCGTCCGGGTACTATACCTGTAGTTGCTAATTGCACATAGAAAGTAGCTTGCTTTCTAAGATTTTCGTATCAACAATACACAAAATAGTAGACTGTACAGCTCATACAGTAATAACTTCCAGGAGATCAAGCATATGCATAATGCACACGTTGTTTTAAACATACATACCGCCTGACAAAAAAACTTTAAAATCGTTATCACAAGAATAACCTGCCCAGTACACATATAAAGGACATCTAGCCTATCTGCTGAGCATTGTGAATTCCCACATACAAACCCTTTGCTACATACAGAGGAGTAGCAAGCAACAAAGAAGTCAAGCGAGTAATTGAGCCAGATCCATTAGCTACAAGATAAAATTATGTCGGACACGATTGCGCATAAGGAAAGATAGCATGAGAAAATGACAAGACGTAAACAAAAGGAGTAAAGCCGCCACCACTGCTTATTGGGAAGCACTTCTTCCGATGGTTCATTGCTCTGATGGTTCAGGGTTCCAGGTTGCTATAAATACATGAAGCAACGGGCACCACTGTTGTTCTTACTAAAGTTCATTTGCTGCCCACTATTACTCAACACTGCTTCATCTTTCCACGTTTTTGAACGTATTGTGGCTCTACTTGGCGATTTTGTTTTCAAGGCTTCTTTGCTGGACGGACTTGTTTTTGCTTTTCCCGTGCTTATCAAAGATGCTGTGCATGGATGCTGCTCTGCCGCTTCAAACGGGTGACCTGTTCTCATAGCGTTCCTGTGTATGCTTAGCTGTATCCCTTCATATGCCGTTTTGAATTTATCAAAATCAAGGCCGAGACTGTGTTGGTTGCCTTTGCTCTCCATGGATGGACTTTGCTTTTTAGGCGTTCTATACGGAGTATGAAAGCCTTTATGAAACTGCTCTGTCCGTCTGTCCGTAACGCTTTTCGTTGCCATGGCAACCGTGTAACCATCACAGCATTGTCTTCCAACTATCAAACGATCAAATGTGGCTTCACTGCTTACCTTCGACGTAAAATAAAGCTGTAACCACAACAGAGTGTGTAAATATTAAATGCTCTCTCTCTTTATCACAAAACGTTCACCATGTCAGCAAGCCACCCAAAATTCTTTCCACGCCCATCTGATGAAGAAATCTTGCCATTTTTTATCATGCTTTTGGTCAAGTTCTGGTGAGTGACGAGGTTGCGTAAGGAACAGCACAGGGGAATGGCGGATGGGGCGGGGTTGATCATGACCGGTCACACAAAACGAGTATCCAGGGATAGAACGCCCGTACAGAGTTTCACTGAAACTCTTCCCAACATTTTTTTTGACACATGCATTTCCGTTGCGGGCTCCTGCTGTGCTTGATAAAGTTATGATCCACATGGTAAGTCATTCTACTTTAAACTTTCCCGTTTTTATTAGCTAGTTAGAATTTGTGGATTGTTTTTCTAAAGAAGCAAGAATGTTTAACAGGATGAACGAGCGCATGTAAACGCGCGATTGTTGACGGGCTTGTGGATATTGGCGACGGTGGCAGAGGAATTTGGAGGAGCAGGTTATTCTGTTTGTTTATAGAACAGGTGCGAGACCGTTGACTGTGTAGCCACATCAAGATGCTGTTGGTGTGATAAGGTACTTTACTTTTGGTGTTTGTGTATATTGCTGGATCAGCTTGAGCCATTTTCTAATTTGAGGCTGTGGTTTATAATGTATATACTACGTTTTTGTATCATTGTTACGTGTGAGGATCCAGGTAAGTGGTCAAGAGTGATTTCTGGGCAGGATATACTGTGCTTATTATAATTGTGGTGGGCATACTGGTGGGGATGAGTGATGTGGGTATATAATTCAGAGTGCCGGTCTTTGTTTGCTGAAGGAAACACTGTTGGACTAGAAGAACAGAATTCTTAAATAAAGACAATCAATTTTTAAAAAGTAAAAAGCTACTGTTTGAGCGAGTTAGAAGATGTGCTGCTGAAGGCAGCTCTTTCGTCGGATTGCTGATATGGCGGATTGTGTGAGAGCACCAGTAAAAGAAAACGTTTAAAATAAAAACAGAAGGCTCTCTATTTTATAACTTGGATTACCAACGTATATACTCGACAGTCGAACAATGACCTATAAATACGACGAAGACTTTGGTGAACCATAATCGTGCTGCGTTTCATCATCTTAGAGTCACTGTGCTGCTGAAAATGAACAGCACAGCTCTATTTTAAAAAAAAAAGCTGTATGTCACCTAGAACAATACAAAATGGAATAAGAAAAAAAATACTTTACCAAACAAAAGCATGGATATCACGAACTCTCCAAACATCGATCGTACAAGCACCTTTGACAACTCAATATGCCATTCTACTGATGCCACTGGAACCGTGTGCTGCTATGAATGTTTGCATACAACGGTTTCTCTGGAGGACGAGTACTGTAGCAGATCGTCTCGCCTATAACGATATTATATGTGCAGAGTTTTTGACCACGCGTTTTTATCATACTGAAGTGACAAACCAAGGCGGCAATCGTACACACACCACTCGAACATATATACAAACTTTGACGAGCGTATATACAACACACGGATTACACAATTCCTTAGTGGTCATTCCATTCGCTGTCAAAACCGGCGTTTTGTGACAATCGCAACGCCATTGTACGTACAGACGAACTCTTTTGAGAATGTTCTATGCCAGTCGATACTTTTTTCTCCATCTTGTAAAGAAAAGAAGAGATACACAGCACCATTATAAAGAAAGGCGGTATCCAGCGCTATTTCGAAACTATTTCTTGATTATGACGTTTGTGCGACTTTAAAGTAAAGATATATGCATCATCCCTTTTCACTGAACAGCAACAGCACCGATTACCGCTTTCGAATCCATTTCTCACGACAAAAAGCAGGCAATCCATCGTCTTCCTCATATCATCTTTGCACAAATCCAGGCTTCAATCCAGCAGGCTATCTAGATAAAAATAATCGGTATGTGATCTATCTATTTCTGCGTTGCTATAGTAATGAAGGAAACACTATCAATAAAGTATTGATTGCAATGGAATAAAAAGACCGGTCTGTGGATATTCTGTGTAAGAGACACTGGTTTCCCCAGTTAAGAATAGAATCTGCGCACTGAAAAGAGAACATCTGCTTGAAGTTGCTAAGAATACGTCGTCGTTGAAGCTTGTGGTCATGGAGATGGATGTTTGTTGAAACAAAAATAGAAACAGCGGCATTTTCGCTGCTATGCAGGTTTCTTCCTTATACAGACACAGATGCAAATGCTGGTATTCACGCGATCCAATAAATCTTACTGCATTGTCATGATATCAAGCAGCTACATTACTGATAAATATATGACATCGTGATGGAATAAGTCACTCAATAAGTTGAAAAGAAGGGCGAGTAGCTCGCAACCGCTTGAGGGGCCTGGCAGCGAACGCCAGTGAGCGAGCAGGTTTAGGCGACCGCGCAAGTCCTGGTCCGCGTTTAGCCAGTTTCGGGCTTAGATTTGATGTTTTAGTTTGATGCATATGGGACGATTTTCTTCTCCTTCACCATTTATTTTATAACGGTTATTTTTGAATGCTCTATATATTTTGAATGCTGATGTATTTGTACCTGAATTCGAGAGATAATATCAAAGGTCCTGATCCTGACTTGACGTGATTGCCAATGATACTTGCCGCTCTATTTGTTTGCTGAGCTGTAGTTCCAATCAAAGCTTGAGACGCGACTCAAACTTTCTAAGCAGTGTCTCTTCCGCCTTTCCAAACGGTTCAGTAAAATCCATCAATCAATTGCCATTGTAGCATCTTCCAATATAGTATGCTCTTATTGGACTTGATTTACTTTACAATTTCACATATTATGGAGATATATACCAATCAATTACCTTGTGCTTTATTGCCTCCATAATATATAGGCAGCACCAGCCCGCTCTCGCCATCACCACCATCAATACTGCTTTGGCATGGGAAATCTCTCGTTGCCTCTGGCAACCCTTTGCCTTTAGCTCAAAATCCTCAACTGGAACCAGTCGCTTGTTTTGGAACTTATCATCATATTCAACACCCATCAAGTAATTGATGGCTTTCAGAAGCGCCTCAAAGTCTTCTTTAACTTCTAAAAGCTTTTGGAGCTTGACTTGAAAATTGCGTCTGATGTGGTTGGTGCAGAGCAATTTTTTCGAGTTGGGGAAGACGTGATCCAAGGCTTTCATTAACGCAGATTCGCTGTCGGTCACAAAGGCTTTCGGGGAGACTGGCTGCTCAGCTGGCCAAACAACTTGCTCATGCTTTTTGACAAACCAGTCGTAGCTGTCATTCGTTTCTTCAGACACCCATCCACCAGCAATACAGAACGTTTTCAAGTCATGATAATCAACATTGCCTGTACCGACGACATTTACAAAGAGAAGCCGATGTCTGTTTGTATTGTACGTGGTATCCATGATGATGGTTTCATGGAATTGGCGAGCCAGTGAAATTGCTACTGGCGTACCCTTTGATCATGCTAAGAACAATGACGTGTTGCTTCTAATCGAGCTGACGAAGCAAAGATACGACGAGAGCTCCTTTGCAATCTCATGATTGTGTTCACCGTTGTAAAAGGAGACAACGTGTCATTGCTGGCTAGCCTTACTCAATGACCGCAGCTTGATCTCAAACTCGCATCCAATTCACTGGGAGTCTTTCTCGCGCCGTTTTTTGATGTCCTTGCTGTTGGATCGAATAACATCACCTTTGTCATTCGCCAAGATGGTTTCTACTGTCGTAGTTTTGCCATCGTCATATACCTCTTGATTGGTAGGTTGTTTAAAGTGCTTGTAAACAAGACGGAGGACTCATTTTTCTCCTGTACGCGTACTTTTCAAGGTACGGAGGGAAACCTTGTTCTTTTTCTCCCAGTCGACGCAAGCTTGCTTGACAGAGTCAAAGTCGTCATAAGTGACCCGAAGTTCTTCAGGATTTGCACTTGTTGGGTTCGACATTGCGATGAAAATGAGCTGAGAGATTTAGAGAAATATGCTTGTTTGTTTAAGATACCCACATTCTATTCTCACTTCCTGAGTACCATGTAGTGCCAAACATATTGCAAACGACCACGATAATGTACAGGTCGATGTGTATATGGACCATGTATATACGGACTATGTGTCTATGGACTATCTATATACGAACTATCTATATTGGCAAATATAGAATATACTGCTATTTGCAATAATACAGTCTCAGTTTCATATGCATTATGTAAGACGTGGCAAATCAAAGTGTATGTTAATTAATCGCCGTGGCCTCCCTTTCTGTTCCACATCATTTTTCAGTTCCATCACATATTCTATCCCGTGCATCTTAAGAACTCTTCTCTATACAATTAAGTAGCAACTGCCGGTGCTATATTTCATTATGCCTGTGCGTGTCTCCTTTCTGACAATTTATCTTGAAAAGGCACATACAAAAATAGACATACATTTAGTTTATAGCTTCTAATTTTATCTTACTTGGTCTGATGATCATGCTTCATTCTTCAACCTTGTGATGACTATTCGATCTGTGAATGAGGAATGTGGATGAAGCGGTGTGCACCAAATGGTTTGGTGGACGAATTGGTTAGGTGGAGGGGGGGAGTGCAAACTACAAATCCGGTTCGGGCAGTGACTGGGGGGGGGGGTGCACGAGGGGGTGCAAATGAACCTGCCCATTCCATGATTGGCTGGCGTTTATAAAAGTACAGTCACTTTATCACAATACGAACAGGAGTGACGTCGAGATTATTTTCTGTGAACAGACAAAAACAACACCTTATTGTGGACTTTTATATAACTCTGGAACAAAGTTGGTTGATGATGCATTTTCCTCATGCCATGCTGTTTCATGCGTCGCCAAGTTGCGTTGCTGTCGTGAGATTGCTGGTCCCATTGCTACTAAGGTAACATTGATCTGTTGTTGCTTCAACCATGCTGAGAACCACATGCTCATTCGGTGCTTTGCCCTGTTAGATAGATGGCTGTTGCGCTTGGATGTGCCCTGCCGATACGTTCGGAGAAATTCTGGCCACCATACGTTGGTGCTGGAGTGGGAAGTATGGAGTTCAGCTGCGTACTGTCTTCATGCGTCGCCAAGTTGCGTTGCTGTCGCGAGATAGCTGGTCCCATTGCTACTAAGGTAACATTGATCTGCTGTTGCTTCAACCATGTTGAGAACCATATGCTCATTCGGTGATTTGCCCTGTTAGATAGATGGCTGTTGTGCTTGGATGTGCCCTGCCGATACGTTCGGAGAAATTCTGGCCATCATACGTTGGTGCTGGAGTGGGAAGTATGGAGTTCAGCTGCGTACTGTCTTCATGCGTCGCCAAGTTGCATTGCTGTCGCGAGATAGCTGGTCCCATTGCTACTAAGGTAACTTTGATCTGTTGTTGCTTCAACCATGTTGAGAACCACATGCTCATTCGGTGATTTGCCCTGTTAGATAGATGGCTATTGTGCTTGGATGTGCCCTGCCGATACGTTCGGAGAAATTCTGGCCACCATACGTTGGTGCTGGAGTGGGAAGTATGGAGTTCAGCTGCGTACTGTCTTCATGCGTCGCCAAGTTGCATTGCTGTCGCGAGATAGCTGGTCCCATTGCTACTAAGGTAACTTTGATCTGTTGTTGCTTCAACCATGTTGAGAACCACATGCTCATTCGGTGATTTGCCCTGTTAGATAGATGGCTATTGTGCTTGGATGTGCCCTGCCGATACGTTCGGAAAAATTCTGGCCACCATACATTGGTGCTGGAGTGGGAAGTATGGAGTTCAGCTGCGTACTGTCTTCATGCGTCGCCAAGTTGCATTGCTGTCGCGAGATTGCTGGTCCCATTGCTGTTAAGTAACATTGATCTGCTGTTGCTTCAACCATGTTGAGAACCATATGTTCATTCGGTGCTTTGCCCTGTTAGATAGATGGCTGTTGCGCTTGGATGTGCCCTGCCGATACGTTCGGAAAAATTCTGGCCACCATACGTTGGTGCTGGAGTGGGAAGTATGGAATTCAGCTGCGTACTGTCTTCATGCGTCGCCAAGTTGCATTGCTGTCGCGAGATAGCTGGTCCCATTGCTACTAAGGTAACTTTGATCTGTTGTTGCTTCAACCATGTTGAGAACCACATGCTCATTCGGTGATTTGCCCTGTTAGATAGATGGCTATTGTGCTTGGATGTGCCCTGCCGATACGTTCGGAAAAATTCTGGCCACCATACGTTGGTGCTGGAGTGGGAAGTATGGAGTTCAGCTGCGTACTGTCTTCATGCGTCGCCAAGTTGCATTGCTGTCGCGAGATTGCTGGTCCCATTGCTGTTAAGTAACATTGATCTGCTGTTGCTTCAACCATGTTGAGAACCATATGCTCATTCGGTGATTTGCCCTGTTAGATAGATGGCTGTTGTGCTTGGATGTGCCCTGCCGATACGTTCGGAGAAATTCTGGCCACCATACGTTGGTGCTGGAGTGGGAAGTATGGAGTTCAGCTGCGTACTGTCTTCATGCGTCGCCAAGTTGCATTGCTGTCGCGAGATAGCTGGTCCCATTGCTACTAAGGTAACTTTGATCTGTTGTTGCTTCAACCATGTTGAGAACCACATGCTCATTCGGTGATTTGCCCTGTTAGATAGATGGCTATTGTGCTTGGATGTGCCCTGCCGATACGTTCGGAAAAATTCTGGCCACCATACATTGGTGCTGGAGTGGGAAGTATGGAATTCAGCTGCGTACTGTCTTCATGCGTCGCCAAGTTGCATTGCTGTCGCGAGATAGCTGGTCCCATTGCTACTAAGGTAACTTTGATCTGTTGTTGCTTCAACCATGTTGAGAACCACATGCTCATTCGGTGATTTGCCCTGTTAGATAGATGGCTATTGTGCTTGGATGTGCCCTGCCGATACGTTCGGAAAAATTCTGGCCACCATACGTTGGTGCTGGAGTGGGAAGTATGGAGTTCAGCTGCGTACTGTCTTCATGCGTCGCCAAGTTGCATTGCTGTCGCGAGATTGCTGGTCCCATTGCTGTTAAGTAACATTGATCTGCTGTTGCTTCAACCATGTTGAGAACCATATGCTCATTCGGTGATTTGCCCTGTTAGATAGATGGCTGTTGTGCTTGGATGTGCCCTGCCGATACGTTCGGAAAAATTCTGGCCACCATACATTGGTGCTGGAGTGGGAAGTATGGAATTCAGCTGCGTACTGTCTTCATGCGTCGCCAAGTTGCATTGCTGTCGCGAGATTGCTGGTCCCATTGCTGTTAAGTAACATTGATCTGCTGTTGCTTCAACCATGTTGAGAACCATATGCTCATTCGGTGATTTGCCCTGTTAGATAGATGGCTGTTGTGCTTGGATGTGCCCTGCCGATACGTTCGGAGAAATTCTGGCCACCATACGTTGGTGCTGGAGTGGAAAGTATGGAGTTCAGCTGCGTACTGTCTTTATGCGTCGCCAAGTTGCGTTGCTGTCGCGAGATTGCTGGTCCCATTGCTGCCTCTGGAAATTTGTTGGATATAAAAATATTTCTACAAAATAGAAAATAAACGTGCTTTTGCTTGCAATGATCAAGCTGATTGGTTGTTGACTATATGTGTCGATCCCGTAAACCTTTCGTTTGAATTACACAAATTCATTGTTACGAACGAGAAACTTATGTACGAATACAGGCCGAAAGAAGTCCAATTGGATACTTTAAGTTACCGTCTTTTGCTTGAGTACATCGATAGTCTTGAGTGTCTTTTAACAAACTTCTGTCGTTTGTATAGTATCTTTGATACGCCAATGTGTATCTTCGACTTGAGAGGTTGCTTGTACACCCATATTTAAAATTCCCAGCGTTGAAAGCACCCCACTTTTCCTTATAGGCCATGCAGCTATGCACGTGCTTTTGATAAGCATCGTTTAGCTTCTTCTCGAAAACAAACCTACAGTATAAATGATATATGTTGTACTTACCCATTAAAATAATGCATCGTCATTATTCCGAATTCTGTTCTGTAGAAGGGTACCTTTTCCTTCTCAGCTCAGCTGTCTTGCTTATATTCATTGTTGGACAGCTTATATTTTATCTTAGTGTATACAGTGGCTTTTTTTGTACTAAGGCCTTATTTTTTGTACACAGCAGTATTGGAAGCATTTTTATCCTTATTTTACTCATATATCGTATCTTATTAGATAGCTTCCTTAGACGAGCTCTATTTTGGTGCTCTTTGACAAGAAACAACCACTAATGTTGCTCTATTTACTATATGGACAACGCATGGTTAGTATCCAGGAACATAGAGCTTATGGAGTTGATCAGTGCCTCTTCGTTATCAGTAATAAAGATGTCTACATTGCCTTCAGGCCATATGACTTGACGCGCCTTCTTAGGAGCCCAGAGGTATGATTCTTTCTTTTTCGTTTACCACAAATACAGATGCAATCAATGCGTCTTGTAGTTTTGAGGCACCAAGATGGCTGACACCGACAAAGTTTACAAGCGGCATTTTAGTCACACTTGCTTTGTAAGTTGCATCAATGACAATAATCTCGTTGACCTGATTCGCTTTGCTAGGCTTGATTTTGTGCGAGATAAAAATGGCTTCAACTTTTATTCACTGACTCATGTAGTTTTATCTCGTCATGTACTTGTTGCTGATGAAAAACTCGAGGATCGTGCTGAAATCGCCGTGATTGTCTTCACGGAAGATGCGTTCGCGAACGTTGTACAGATCGTTCATTGACAGCTTGGTACAGTAACGTCTTCGTGGCCCCTTATCACTTCAAACACTTTGGCTGGTTTGATCTAGCACTCCGTCTTAGAATGAACCTGCTGTCGAACTTCGGATGCTGGTGGTGGAATTGTGGTTGATTGCTAAGTTCATGATTATGCTCGTCGGTACTATATATTGACAGTCGTTACGCGCCAATGCTTCTTTTCTTGTATCCACTTCACGTACATGCGCCACATACATCTTGTCTTTTTCGTCGATGTTTGACGTTGACGAGTTTCTTCATCGATTCCATGTGTGTTACGATAGCGGTTGCCATGTACGCATTGAAGCACAATTTCTTTGTCATCGCTATTCTTCGTAGAGACTGCAAAATTCTAGCATTGTACGTGTTCGTTCAGATCCGCAAGGATTTTCTCTTCAAAAACAGTATATGTCCTGCCAACCGATTTATCCATGACGTAGAGTATATCTGTAAATCAGTGTATAGAGATAAAGAAAGTACAGTTATAGTCACTCTCTTTTATATGACTGAATCGCCACATAGGAACGTCTGGTTAGAGACCAAATTTCCAATGAGAAACTGGTACTATGCGCGAAATGAATTGCATACTACACCTACGCTGTTGTTTGATGTAGAACTGGAAGGAATAACAAAAAAAGTCATGTTTATTCTGACATCTCTCTATGTATTGAGTCATACTCTTATCATAGCTTGTTGCGGACATCCCACAAATGAAGTTATCACCGAATAAAAGATCCTTTTTCCATGCTTGCGACGCACCATTGATTCGCGTGTAACCTCGAAAATTTATTGATAGAATGGTGTGTCCGTAGCAGTTCCCTTTGTGTCTTTATTAAGCTTCTTTGATTTTTCGCTAAGAACACTTGCGTACAGCTTACAATTTTGCACCTTATCCGCACTTCCGAATACATTCAGTAGTGATACTAGAAGAAGTCACTTGGTATGATAAGAATGATAAAATTGGGGGTATGTTTACAAATATCATCTCTTCCGTTCTGATATTTCACACCAGTTTCAAGTGAAAATACAGATTATATGGGCCCAAAGTCACCTTTCTTTGCTTCATTTTCTAAGGAAGGGATAACGTGTCGTCAAATTTGATGGTTGTTTGAATATGCTTGTGAATCTTTGATATGATACTCCTGTACTTTTTAAAGATAGTCGATTCTCGGCTTGCGAATGATATCTTTGGATTGACACTAGCTATGCCATGATACAGTGGATGATAGGGAGAAAAGAAGGATTGTGATAAATATGAAGGAACTGAAGGTGATGCTCATTGTGAAATACTGATAAGAGAAACTGGTAGCCATCATGGGATGAGGGGAAGTAAGGAAAAGTAATATAAGTCGTGCCAGTGAAAAATGATCAGCATCATGATAAAGGAAAACAGAATAGAATGAGGATGAGAAAATATATACAATGTAGGTTGGTTATCAATAGTCTAGTGTGCATTCACGCGAACGGTCCACGGATCCATCCTTGATATTTTTTAAAGTCGATATGTCGAGGCGTGGTGAATGCGAATTTCCTCGTTCAACTTCTCGATCTTATTGTTTGAGGCAGTTCCCCCAAAAAACTTCGTATAGAGAAAGTAACGATTCAATATTGCTTCTGCTTGTGAATGAGTCCAGTTCTTGTATTGGCTTTGGAAAAGTAATTGCCAGTACTTCAGTCATGGTATAAAACGAACTGTTTGGCATTTTCTGAGTGATGTAAACTTTGAGGTTATAACCTAGAAAAAAAAAGAATCAACAGCCATATACAAAAAATGAATTAGGGTGTAGCACACATAAAACACCAGGATTTAACATTTACCATGGATCTGGAACCCTAGAACACCACACAATTTGGATTTTTCAACAGCTTTGGCATTCATAACCACTAATCTCAAGAGGTCATTGGCCAAACAGTCGATATTTGGACTTGGGTCTGCCAATTTGGCCTCGCCGTATCCCAATGGACGTCCCTAACTAAGCTGATCAATCTCGCAAATCATTGTGTCGGGTTGCACACGGACTACTTCACTAGCACTACCGTCATCTGGAACAACGTTGGTCCTATATATGACCGAATATCCATCCAGATCGGTAATAACCAAAAAGAATAAGTAATAAAGAAATCATGCATAGTGTATGATCATGTAAAACGGAAAAGATATGTACTTACCATCTCAATGACACATTACGATCAGGATCCAACAACAAAGCAGAGAAAATGGGATCGAAAACACTACTCCATAATTCTGTTTCACCCATGGTGACAGTAGTTAAGAGCGTTTTCGACGGAAGCCTCTGGATCCTAGATAGGTGCGGACATCAGCACAAACCTAATAGCCATTCACAATACATGACAAGTCACAATAAGAGCTTACAAATTCGATAAACCTATTAAAAGTTGTGCTTCGCAATCTTTCTTGTCAATACTCATGGCAACTAACTTCTGGACGGCTTCACGTGTCCTGATGCGTTTCTTTTTCAAGTCCTGTTTTTGCTCAAATAATATATTATTAAACCATTAGCGAGAACCCAATGTCGTAAATACATACATAAATGAAATCAACAAGAACTTTGGCAATCCTGGAAGCTTCTTCTTCTACATCAGCGAGTAGGCTTTTCCGAGTGTTGTCGTGCCATTCGCTCAGGACTTGATCAGTGAAATGCGCACGTGTGTATTTATTGAATTGGGAAGGCTTTAATAGCATGACATCACTCAAAGCCCTATAAAGAGACGGTGATAACCATATAAGCCAAGTAATAAGTATATCTACCAGAATAAGTAAATGAAAAGGAAGCATCAATAAACATACATCAACTCGGGAACACCATTCTCCATACTGAACTCATGGCCGGTAAGCGCATCCCCAAGAACGTTTTTCTTGTATGCAGCAAATTGTTCAGTTAGTGTTGGCTGTTGGGTTGTTTGGTCGTTTTACCGGCGTCTAAATAAAAGCAAGCGTTAGCGTAACACATCAGCAGAAAGTTTGACCAAAATATATGGTTTGAGTAGTGCATACCAGACCAACTGCTTCGTCTTCTTGTCTTTCTTTCCTTTTCGATCGCTGTTTTCAATATAGTTAGAGCCACAAGCTTTATCGCTAATTCTGCCAACGGAGCTTCCAAATATTGACTGTGTACATCCATCATACTTACATTTCCCCTGCATTTTCAATATTTTGATTTTCATTGATACTAATGCATCCGCCACTGTTGCTATTATCATTGATATTCTGCTCATTGCCACTATTGCTACTGCTGTTGCTTCTTGACAATGACTTTTGACCATGTGATCGCAGCGCAGTTACAGCCGTTACTCGCTCCATAACTTCAAGTTCTTTCTATTGGGAGACTTAATGGAATCTTCCAAATTCTCATTTAAGTCTAAATAACAACCTACCAGTTGTTTAGGATTGATTTCATTAAAGTCAAGACCTCTTCAAAAAAAATCAAAGATTTTTTATCAGACCCCCCAGCATTAAGATTCAAACTATCGATTCGATTTTAACAAATCGAATAAAATAAAAAAAAGTAAGTTTTATTTTTTTATATTTTAATATCTTAATGATTAATAGATTTCTTAATTTCATTAGAAATCTTATTATCATAAGATATTCGATTAGTTCTCTTCCTAAACCCCCTAAAAAAAGATAAACCTTTTTTCACCCCTAAAAAACGATGTGAATGTTATTCACATATGAAACACTACTTCAAAAAAAACTAAAGTTTTTTTTATCAGTCACAGATAGTGTATTAATTCATAATAGTGTCATGACACTAAGTGTTACCCTCATTATGACATAATAGTGGCATGACACTAAGAGTGACACACTATAGCGTCCTGCTATTAGTTGTCTAACCAATTATAATCTACTAGCTGTAATATAGATAATAAAATTGCTATGATCGGTATAACCATCAGTGGCCGAATTAATTATTGATTTACAATAAAAATAATAAAAATTGAATTTTTTTATTTATATTGGTAGCCTCCCCCGAGAAAAAAAAGAGCGATTGTTTAAAGTATATAACAACAAATAAAAATGAACACAACACAACGCACTGAACAACTCGATATTGAAATTAAAATTTTATTGATAATAAATGGACTTTTCTTGATAAATCTTAGCCTGAAATGCAACATAGATTTAATCATAGAACAGCTATTAAAGATATGAAGAATAATACAATCAATGATATAAAGGATGTATTACTTAATAGATTTGGATTTATACCTGTATTTTATTTTCTTACAATTTTATATGGAAATATTGAATATCCAGGGCCATACCGCGAGATTGAAAAAGGACTTGCATTATTATATCATATGGTATTAGGTGTATCAGGAAAGGATATGCATACTGTTATGCTATATGCAACATTTTATGATTTATATAAGCGGTTCTGGATTACTAACTATAATGAATTGAATAAAAAGGTAAAACAAGATCTAGATAGTATGTTCTCATCACCACGTATTCGCATTCTATCAGCAATAATAAACAATCAGATGGTTTTAAGAATGTTACACTATTTATTGATGGACATGATAGTAAAATAAAGTATTATAAACCAAATGAGTCACATTCATAATTATATTCATATAAATTAAAAGGGCCAGCTATACATACATAAGTTATATAGGATATGAATGAAATAATTACACATGTTTCAGTATCTGAAAAATGTGCTATCGGAAAAGATGGTACTATGTTTATTAATATGAAACTGTATAAAAAAATAAGTGAGGCAGATTGTTTAGGAATGGATGGTGGATATAATTTATTTATACAAAAGTTTAAAGATAATGCGACAGATGCTGGATATAGTTTTTATGATCGTAATTTTTTACATCCCATAAGAAAAGAACTAGGACAAACGTTAACAATCAATGAGACATACTTTAATAATAAGTTTGGATCATTTCGTTCAGCAATAGAAGCACAGTTTTCTATATTAGGCTCTAAATTTGAACGATTTAATAATAATCGTGCTACATTGCAAATACCTGATATAAGATATTATAATATTCAGTTTTGTATTGCTTGTATTCTTACTAATATATGGCGATTTGTAAATAAGTATAATATAGAGGTACAACCACATCATAAATTATGGTATGGAAAAGATTTTGAATTCCAAAGTAAGAAAAACAAACTTGACTTAGTATTTTCAAATGAGCAAAAAAGTAAATACTGAATATAACGAAATGGTTGACATGCAGCAGAAATTTCTACAGCTTAACATTAATCAATCAATAGATATGGCTATAGATAGTGAGGACGAAACTGAAAATAATACATCTAAAGCAAGAGAAAAAATCAAAGAGAACAGAGAAATATAGAACATAGTAATTCATATGAAATTGAGAAGATTGTAGGACATGTGTATACTGATAATTAGTACATATTTGAGGTTAAGCGGGTTGGATATAGTGTAAAGGATAATAGTTGGTTAACAGTTGATAAGTTTAATTCCCGGGAAATGCTACATGAAATATATGGCCATACATGGTATTCAGCTCTAAGTTAATTTCTTACTTATTTGCTTATTAAAAAATCTCATATTGAAACTGACCGCATCAGCCTTTCGTTTACTTGCCCAATTATATTTATGTTTTATGCATTCATTAGTTATACTTATACTTATATTAGTATCTATTGATTTATTTTTGATGTCAGTTTCTTTTGTTATATCTATATCATCTATTAGAGCCTGTTTTATATCCTTATGCTTTTTAAAATATTCTTTTGGCTGTATTTCTTCTACTATTTGCTTGTTTCTCCATTTATTTTAATGTGCCTTTTTTTCTTTTTACGTTTTGGTATATTATTTAGTATGTTGCAGTCACTGCTTTTCTCTGATTCAGATGTACTTACAGTGGACCCCCGCTTTTTTCAAGGCTGCTATTCCTGAACACTCTTGAAATTAAAGCGGGTTTGAATTTCATCGGGGGAAGGGTAGCGGCAGCAATCTTCTGGATAAACTTTTAAAATTTAGCTGAAACCTTCTCACTACTGTACAGTAGTACAGTACTGTTTCTAAATCCATACTGCCACAAGCTTTTTTCCTTTTATATTATATGGAATATATATTTTCTACAATTACCTGACACACAGCTCTACTTGTTTAAGATTTTGATAAACATATAATGACTTCCCTAGTTTCTCTTGAGATCCGATTCTATCAATTACTTGCTCCGATAAATAAAGAAAAAACGAATGACAGTCGCGAGAAGCCAGCAAACTCACTTCTGAAACAACACCATTCACTACTTGTGATCAGTCTTATCTGCTTTTTAGAGGAAGGCTCCCTCAAAGAAAGGCTTAGACAAGTGAGAGACCACTTGCGCCGACAGTAAATGAATGGGACACAGAGAACCTTAACCTCTTGTTTTAGAGCATAACAATAGGCATACATGGTCATAAACGTAGATATATACCTCATATTTGCAAATTGTATTAAAAATATTCATACATCTTTATATGAATACCATCCACATGATGTAGCAAAATATAGATACTTCACCCCCGTATAGAGTTCAAGGGTAAAAGATATATTGAAAATGAAAAATAACGAGGTATTGAAAAATTTATTAATGATTTTGGGTCATTCCCTGGAAATTTCTTGAAAAAGCCCGGGTATTGAAACGAACGGGGTTGAAAAATTCGGGGGTCCACTGTACATCTATGTATTTATGTTTCTCTATATCTTCTGGTGGGTTTTCCCAATTAGTAGTATCATTTACAACATCATCACATTTTATATCATTAAACACATCTTCCCAATGCCTACAATCTGCTGATGGTGGTACCTTTACAGTTGACCATCCTCTATTATTTTGTTGAGGCGGTTTATGTTGTTTATTGTTCTGTGTATTATTACCATTATGTTTTTCTTCTTGTTCCTTCATATATTTTTCTGTATTAGCTAATTCTTGTAGTTCCTCTACTGTTTTATCCATCGCTGTATATTTTTTAATATCATCCTGACCACTATTATGTGCATAACGGATAAATGTATGCTGATCTTGGTATTCGTTTTCAAATTCATCTTTGTATAAGTCCTCATACATATCTATGTTTTTATAATACATGAATTTATTTTCATAATCCTTCACCTTTATTATGTGGGTATATCCGTAGCAATAAAATTTTGATAACCTATAATTTTTATTGAAACTTATAAAGTTTTAAGTATTTCGGAGTTTCAAATCGTGCATATAATTAATTTTTACATATAAAAAAAATTGAATTTTTCTTAATATAAAAATAATAACTATCCAATCTATAAGCAAAAACTAAAATGGTCTTATTAAATTCTGAGATACTTATGGGTACAGATAACCTAGCTAAGTCTATTAAAAATATAATGGAAGAAGTAATGGAAGAATATTTTGAAAATGAATGTCTTGTTTCAACAAAAGAAAATAAAAAAAAATGATGGAAAAAAAAATAAAAGAAAAAATGCAAGATATTGAAAGTAATCACTTTTGGTATTTGAATAGTAGTAATAATGTATGTACATATATACATAAACGTGGAAATAAAAAAGGATATATGTGTCACAAAAAATCAATACTAATTTAGAAGGTCAAAAGCCTGATTATCTTTGCTGTAAATATAGTAAAAAGCATATACTAAAAAAAAGAAATAAAAAAGATCAAAAAAAATTAAAAAACCAGAATTACCCTGTGTTATTGTAAGCAAATATGGGCATAAAAAAGATATAAAAAAAGTTAAAAAAGAAAAATGAAAAAAATTATGTTTGCAATGGTGGAATAATAAACTTTGTATGGTGCCTGCTACCTAGAAACAACAAGTGGACATTTCAAAAATTTAAGGTTCCGCCTTTATAAATTTCCATTTTTAGTTAAGTGATATTTATTCATCGAAAATTTGCTAGTGGGACTTATATTTTTTCTGCTTTTCATCCAGTGAGTCCTTTCTCAGAGGATGACCTAAAGAAACAAACTACTCTCGCATGATTCTTACATGATTATTAAAAACTGACAGTTCTCTTTGAACGCATAAGAAATTTACTTAATTGTATTCTTTGACTCTTGCACAATTTTAAGGTTCTTCTGGTACTTGTTGAGTCTCCCCGTTGTACAGAATGTTTTGGAAAAAGAAGGAACAATAAAACTGTCATCCTACTTATAATTTACCTGGCACCATTACAGTCAATGTTGATTGGAAGGCTGAGGTATATATTGCACAAATACTTACCACTAATGTTACACTACCTTCTTAATATGGAAATCGCCGATTCAATGTCATATACTATAGTGTATAGTAGGGTGGATATTCTGACAAAATCCTTTGCT